CTGCTCTGCAGTCAGTACAGTCATACCAAGAATTAGGAAAACAGTCATATATTTTGACCCTTTAATCTGACTCCTGGGAATTTATCCATCAGAATTAATTCAGAAGAAATATTAGAGGAAAAAAAAAGAAAGAGTGTTAAGATATTTAAAAGCAGCAGTAGGGAAAAACCAAGACTAATTTAGCTAATTTAAATGTCCAAGAGTACTGCTGTGATAGTGTGTTTATATATATCAAATTTGGGTATGTTGATGGAATGTAATAGTTATAAAAAATGACTATATAAAATCGCTGGAAATATTTTAAAATATATTTTATTGATTTTGCTATTACAGTTGTCCCAATATTTCCCTCTTTGTCCCCCTTGGCCCAGTACCCCCCACCTTCCCTCCAACAGTCCCCCTTCCCCTTAGTTCATGTCCATGGGTTGTGAATGTAATTTCTTTGGCTTCATTTCTTTTTTCTTTTTAATTTTTTAAATATATATTTCATTGATTATGCTATTACAGTTGTCCCATTTTTTTTCTCCACTTTTTATTCCCCTCCACCCTGCACCAACCCTCTCCCCAGCATCCCGCACCCCCTTGCTTTGTTCATGTCCATGGGTCGTACATACAAGTTCTTTGGTTTCTCCATTTCCTATACTGTTCTTAACCTCCCTCTGCCTATTTTGTGCCTACTATTTATGCTGCTTATTCCCTGTACCCTTTCTCCCATTCTTCACCCTCCCCTCTGATCTCCATTTCTATGATTCTGTTCCTGTTCTAGTTGTTTGCTTAGTTTATTTTTGTTTTAGGTTCAGTTGTTGATAGTTGTTATTTTACTGTTCATAGTGTTTGATCTTCTTATTTTTATTAGATAAGTCCCTTTTAACATTTCATATAATGAGGGCTTGGTGATGATGAACTCCTCTAACTTGACTTTATCTGGGAAGCACTTCATCTGCCCTTCCATTCTAAATGATAGCTTTGCTGGATAGAGTAATCTTGGATGCAGGTCCTTGTCCTTCATGACTTTGAATGCTTCTTTCTAGCCCCGTCTTGTCTGCAAGGTTTCTTTTGAGAAATCAGCTGATAGTCTTATGGGAACTCCTTTGTAGGTAACTGTCTCCTTTTCTCTCGCTGCTTTTAAGATTCTCTCCTTATCTTTAATCTTGGGTAATGGAATTATGATTCCTTGCCCAAGGATTCCGTGCCTTGGTGTGTGCTTCCTTGGGTCCAACTTCTTTGGGACTCTCTGAGCTTCCTGGATCTCCTGGAAGTCTATTTCCTTCACCAGATTGGGGAAGTTTGCCTTCATTATTTTTTCAAATAAGGTTTCAATGTCTTGCTCTTCCTCTTCTCCTTCTGGCACCCCTATGATTCAGATGTTGGAACGTTTAAAGTTGTCACAGAGGTTCCTAAGCCTCTCATCATTTTTTTTGGATTCTTGTTTCTTCTTTCTGTTCTGGTTGGATGTCTATCTCTTCCTTCTGCTCCAGATCATTGAGTTGAGTCCTGATTTCCTTCCATTTACTGTTGTTTCCCTGTATATTTTTATTTCACTTTGTATAGCCTTCACTTTTCCCTTCATTTTGTGACCATACTCAGCCAATGCAGTGAGCCTCCAGGTTACCAGCGTTTTGAACTGTGCATCTGATAGGTTGGCTATCTGTTCATCACTTAGTTCTATTTTTGGAGATGTGATCTGCTCTTTCATTTGGGCCCTATTTCTTTGTCTCAGCCTGCCTGTTACGTTGGAAGGGGCAGAGCCTTAGGTATTCACCAGGGTGGGGCAACCCAGGTCACTGTATGTTGGGGAGGGGTCCAACAGGGAACAATGCCACTTGCTCGGTTCTATGCTGGCTTTGAGTCACTTCCCCCATTACCCACAAGCAAATTGGGCCCTTCTAGTGCTGATTCCCAGGTGGGTGGGTTTGCGTACATTCTAGGACCCCGTGGGTCTCTCCAATGGACTCTCCTATGAGTCTGGGAGTTTCTCCTGCTGCTGCAGCCTCCACAGGTTTTTACCTCCAGAGGTTTTGAGGCTTTCTTTTTCCCACACTGGAACCCTGGATTGCATGGTCTGTCTTGCTCCCCAGCTGTTCCTCACAGTTTATCCGCATGCAAATATGGGACCACCTGGATGGTCAGCTCCTACTCACCTGCCCTGTCCTACAGCCTCCACCTTGCTGCACATCCTTGCTGCACCAGCTGCCTGTCTCCACACCTCCTACTGGTCTGGGTGAACGTTTCTTCTTTAGCTCCTTGGTTGTCAGACTTCCATACAGTTCAATTTTCTGGAAGTTCTGGTTACTTTTTGGTTTTTAAATTTGTAGTTGTCCTTTTGGTTGTGCAAGGAGGCAAAGTGTCTCTACCCACACCTCCATTTTGGCCAGAAGAACAGCATCTTCATTTCCTACACTATTCTTAACATCGCCCTGTCTTCTTGTACCTATCAATTATGCTTCTTAATCCCTGAACATTTTTCCCCATTCTCCCACTTCCCTGTCTCAGCTGATAACCCTCCAAATGATTTCCATATCAATGATTATGTTCCTGTTCTGGTTGTTTGCTTAGTTTGTTTTTTTTAGATTCAGTTGTTGATAGTTGTGAATTTTTTTGCCATTTTAATGTTCATAGTTTTGATCTTCTGCTCTTTCTTAAATAAGTCCTTTTTAACATTTCATGTAATGATGGCTTGGAGATGATGAACTCCTTTAGCTTTACCTTGTCTGGGAAGCACTTTATCTGCCCTTCCATTCTAAGTAACAGCTTTGCTGGATAGAGTAATCTAGGTTGTAGATCCTTGCTTTTCATGACTTTGAATACTTCTTGCCTGCAAAGTTTCTTTTTAGAAATGAGCTGACAGGCTTGTGGGAACTCCTTTGAAGGTAACTCTCTTCTTTTCTCTTGCTGCTTTTCAGATTCTCTCTTTATCTTTAACCCTCTGGTATTTTAGTTATGATGTGTCTTGGTGTGGTCCTCTTTGGGTCCACCTTGTTTGGGACTCTCTGTGCTTCCTGGACTTGTATGTTTATTTCCTTCATCAAATTGGGGATGTTTTCTTTAATTATTTTTTCAATTAAGTTTTTAATTTCTTGCTCTTTCTATTCTCATTTTGTCATCCCTATGATTTGGATGTTGGTACATTTGGAGATGTCCCAGAGGTTTCTTATACTATCCTCAGCTTTTTGAATTCTTGTTTCTTTTTGCTGTTCTGGTTGAGTGCTTATTTCTCCCTTTTTCCCAAACCATTGATTTGAATCCTGGCTTCCTCCCCTTCACTGTTGACCCCTGTAGGTTTTTCTTTATTTCACTTAGTGTAAACTTCATTTCTTCCTTTAAGTTGTTGTAGTACTCAGTGAGTTCTTTGAGCATCCTTATCACCACCAGTGTTTTGAGCTCAGCATCTAATAGGTTGGCTATCTCTTGTTTGTTTAGTTCATTTTCTGGAGCTTTGTTCTTTCCTTTCATTTGGGCCACATTTCTTTGTCTCCTCATTTTGGCAGCCTCCCTGTGTTTGTTTCTGTGCTTTAACTCCCTGTCTTAGCAGCATGGCCTGTTGTAAAAAAGTCACCTATAAATTGTGTGTGGTGGAGTCTTAGGTAATCAGCAGGGCAGGGCAACCTGCTTCACCACTTTAGGGCTGTGTATGGAGGGAGGGCTTAGATAGGGGCAGTGCTGCTGCCTCGCTTCTGGAGGTTTGCCCAGCACTTGCCCCATTTGTAGTCACTTAACCCACTCTCTGTATGTGACTGGAACCCTTCCAGCTGTTGCTCTGGTAGTGAATCCCAGAGTGGGTGTGTTTGCATATGTCCTAAGACCATGTGGACCCTTTAAGAAGTCTCCTGAAAATCTGGCAATTTTTTCCTCTGCCCAAACCCCCACTGGTTTTTTACAGCCAGAAGTTATGGGTGTTAATCTTCCCAGTACTGGATCCCTGGGCTGTGTGGTCAGGACTGGGTCTGGGATCACTTGCTCTCAAGGTATCCCTCCTGATTTTTATCCACCGCATGTGAATGTGGAACTGCCCCTTCTGCTGCCACCACCACCTCTCCACACCACCTTGCGTCTTCTCACCTCCCCACCCGTCTTTACATCTCCACCTCTCCTACCTATCTAGGTGAATGTGACTTACAACTGTACTTGAACAACAATTAAAAAGAAAAAAGAAGAATATGGCTTCTTTAAATCCATGGTAGTTGGACTTCCATACAGTTCTATTTCTGACAGTTCTGGGTGTTATTTGTTTTGAGGTTTAGTTGTAATTCTTTCTGTGGTTGCATGAAGAGGTGACGTTTGTCTGTCTACACCTCCATCTTGACTGGAAGTCCTGAAAACTATTTACAAAATAATGCTAAGAGAAAAGACCATAAAACTATGTATACACATATTACAATGGTGTTACAGTTTGGAATATATATAAATAGTTTTGAAAAAGATGATGAGAAAATTAAAATACTGTTGCAAAAGAATGACATATAGTGTGGGTAATATTTTTAAATTGGTCATATGTTCTTTTTTGGGGTGTTTTATTAATAGAAATGTAATATGACCATAGTGCTAATCTGGTCAAAAATTGAGTCAGTGACAGTAGCATCTATTTTAGAGGATTAGAAAAGTCTCTACAGCACTTAAACTGACCCACTGAAAAATCATGACAATTTCAAATTCATATTTAAAAAGAAACTAGTTTCCATAATTCTATATACTTTTTCTGATAGAAAACTTAGAAAATATAGAAATGTGCAAATATGTAAAAAAAATCACATAATTCTATCACAGAGATAGCTTTCCAATGTTTTTTCTGTCTACTTATTTATATATTTTTACAAAATGGATAATTTGAAAAAGGCATAGATTATTTTGTAACCTCTGTTTTTATCACAAAGTTTGATGATGCACATTTTCATATGAGTGTGCTCTCTAGAGGTTTTTAGACAGCCAGTTTGCTAGGGGCCTGCAATGGGAGAAAACAAATGTTAGTTGCTGATTTGCTTTCCTCTCTCATTCTGCTATAGAAATTGGTGTATTAGCCAAGACTTTCATTGAACAAGGGAAACTCATTCCAGATGATGTCATGACTCGATTGGCCTTTCATGAACTGAAAAACCTCACCCAATATAACTGGCTATTGGATGGTAAGTGAAGTGTCACTAGCATTTCAGCTCCTCAAAATGATGAGTGTGGGCAAGGGAAAGAGCCTTTTATGGGCTGCAGACATTACAGAGTGGGCAGAGAGACTGAGTTCTGCCACTAGTCACCCTGAGGCCTTGGGCCAAACATCTTCTCTGCCCGCTTCTTCTTCCTTAAGATTTTGTTTATTTTAAAGTTTTATTTATTTATTTTTTCCAAGAGAGGGTAAGGGAGGGAGAAAGAGAGGGAAAGAAACGTTGATGTGAAAGAGAACATCAATCAATTGTCTGTAGTACGGGCCCAACCAGAGACAAACCTGCAACCCAGACATGCGCCCTGACTAGGAATCAAATGGGCAACGCTTGGCTTGTGGGACAACGCCCAACCAACTGAGCCACACTGGTCAGGGCTGTGCCTGCTTCTTTATCCAAAAGGAAGAGGGAAGTGGCCTGCATGATTTCCAAGGTCTCCAGATGTGACATTAGATCCATTCTCCTCCTTTGAGAATATTTTATGAAGAGGAAGGATTATCACAAAAGGAAGAAGGAAGGCTAGAGGGTAATTGACAATCGGCTGCAAACTGGCAGAGGAGGGGCAGAATAGGTTGATTTTTAGTTTCTGAAGAGAGAGAAATATTTATTTTAAGGAACGCGCTCACATGATTATGGAAGCTGACACATCCCAGGATCTTCAGGGTGAGTTGGTAAGCTGGGGATCCAGGAGAGCTGACAGTGTACTTCCAGTCTGAAGGCCAGTAGGCTCAAGACCCAGGAAAACCTGTTTCAGTTTGAGTATGAAGGCAGGAAAAAGCCCAAGCCCCAACTCCAAGGCAGTCAGGTAGGAGGAATTCTCCTTTATTCAGGGGAGGGTCATCCCTTTTGTTATATTCAGACCTTCCATAGATTAGATGAGGTCCATCTACAGTAGGGAGAAAAACCTGCTTTACTTAGTCTACTGATTTAAATGTTAATCACATCCAAAAATACCCTGACAGACACATCCCAAATAATGTTGGAGCAAATATCTGGGCACTCTGTTGCCCAGTCAAGTTGACACATGAAATTAACCATTGTAGTTGCCCTATAGATCTGATCAGCTTGGCTGGTGTTACTGCTTTTGTTCAGATTGCTCAACATTAATTAATTCTCTTCCTTCATCCCTCTGTCTTCCTCCCTTGTATTCCTTTGTTCTTTTTTGTTTGTTTTTGTTTTTTAATTTGTAAAGGTTTTCCAAGGACTCTTCCTCAGGCAGAAGCCTTGGATAGAGCTTATCAGATAGACCTAGTGATTAATCTGAACGTGCCCTTCGAGGTCATTAAACAACGTCTCACTGCTCGCTGGATCCATCCAGCCAGTGGCCGAGTCTACAACATCGAATTCAACCCTCCCAAAAAAGTGGTGAGTAGTTGTGAAGCTGGCCTTCCACATAGCAGTCTACAAGTCCCCTTGTTCACACAGACAGAAGTTCTATGACCTTGGAAATCCTGACTGACCAAAACTCCTCAGGTTATATTCTCAGATTACTTGGTGCAGTCCATGTCTGGCCCACTCAGTTTGTTAGTAAGGCATCCCCAGGAGTAATGGGGGTTTGCTATTCCTTCAAAAGCATGCATTGATTTTCTACTCCATGCCAGGGAATGCGTTAGGGATTGGGGAAATACAGATAGGCAACACCTTGGATTATTTAGGGCTTGCAATTGAGAGTCCCACTCTGTGGCTGAATCATATATGAATTTTTTATATATAAATAAAATCGGTATAAGAATGTCCAAATCTGGAGAATCAAGATGGTGGAGTAGTGAGTGGAAGTCACACTGACCTCCTCCCAGGACCAACCTGGAATTACAACTAAATTGTGGAGAAATCACCTGGAACAAACAACTGAACAGTAGCGAAAGAGGAGCCTTGTAACCTCGGAGACAAAAGAATCAGCTTTAGCACAACCTAACTGGTAAGGGGTGTGGTAGAGACTCGAGAAGGCAGGAAGGATGCCCACAGGTGGCACACCAGAAGGATATTGAAATAGCCAGTGGGATACCCCTGAGAAGAGCAGGGTCTAAACCAGAAGTGGGGATCTCTAGCCCAGAGCAACAGAACCCAAAAAGTACACAGAAAACAGCCAGCTGCGAAAAGTGGTAGGGTTGCTCTCTGCCAGAGACAGAGGCTGGAAATGCAAAGAACCATTTAAAGGACAAACGCATAAATTTTTATTTGCAGCCACTTACCCTGGACTCCGGCAAAGGCGTGGGCAGAGTGGGCTAGAGACACCTGAGGAGAGACTGGGGAAGGAGGCTTTGGGGAGAGAACTGAGAGAGTAGCCAGCGGGATCTTGGTGCTGACTCATTCCCCCATGCGGCAGCAGCCATCTTGCTCAGGCAGAGACCACTCCCCTTGAGTGGCAGCACCATCAAAGGACCCAATTGCCCCGCCCCCAGGTGGGATTCCGCCCTGCCCTGTGCTGTCTAAGCTGCCTGCTGAGTGCAGAGTGACTAGATTAAGAGCTGAAGGAGACAGCCACAAACAGTAGATTCCTGGAAGTCTCGAACAAGACTGCCTAAGGTCAGACAGGGACAACATCTGACATCATCAGAGGCCAATCCAGAAAGTAAAAACGGCGGTCTCCTACCATAGAAGTTCACACCGCAAAGTCAGGAGATCAAGACAGATCAACTTAAGACGCAGAAGAGAAGAGTCTCACAAATAATGGTAAGACAAAGAAATACCCCCCAAAGGGAAAGGAGGAATCCACAAAGACAACTAAATGAAACAGAGGCAAGTAAACTAGCAGACACTGAGTTCAAAACAACGGTTCTAAGGAAGCTCAATGAGCTCAGTGAGCTCAAAAAGAATTACCAAAAACTACAAGGAAACTATGAGGAACTTACTGCAAACTATATCAGCATGAAAAAGGACATAAAAACTACCAATAAGATACAAGAGGAAATCAAGAATATAATTTCTGAATTGAAGAACACAGTAGGAGGAATCAAAAGCAGGCTAGATGAAGCCGAGAATCAAATCAGCGAGCTGGAGGACAAGGTAGAAAAAAGCTCCCAGAAAGAGCAAGAAAATGAAAAAAGACTCAGAAAGAATGAAGAAGCATTCAGGGAAATGCAGGACAACCTGAAATGTAATAATATCCATATAATAGGTGTACCAGAAGGAGAAGAGGATGAGGAAGGGATGAGAACCTGTTTGAAAAAGTAATGATGGAAAACTTCCCTAGTTGGAGGAGAGAAAGAGTCATGCAAGTCCAGGAAGCACAGAGGGTCCCATTCAAGAAGAACCCAGTGAGGCCCACTCCAAGACACATCATCATTAAAATGGTAAATATCAAAGAAAACAGAGAATCCTAAAGGCAGCAAGGGAGAAAGAGGTAGTTACATATAAGGGAGCCCCAATATGGCTAGCAGCTGACTTCCCAACAGAAACACTGCAAGCCAGAAGGGATTGGCAAGAAATATTCCAAGTCATGAAAAGCAAAGGCCTGCAACCAAGACTGTTCTACCCAGCAAGTCTTGCAATTAAAATGGAAGGCAAAATAAGGAGCTTCCCAGACAAAAGAAGGCTAAAAGAATACACCTCCACCAAACCAGCATTGCAAAATACCAGCATTGCAAAAGGACTGCTTTAAGAAGATGAAGAAAAAGAGTCTATGAATATCCAGTTCCTTTCACAATTGCCAACACTTGATATTACCAATATTTTTTAATATGTATTAACCTGTTTGTGACAATGTTGTGTTATTTTAATTGTTCCTTTATTATTTGTTGAAACTAAACCTGTTTTTATAGATTTCTTGCCTATTTCTATTGTTTTTAAAAAGCTTTAAATGACTTTTTGGTATTCTTTATCCATTTTTTGATTAAATGTTTATAGAATTTTTTCCTTAAAAAAAAACAGATAAACCATTAATCCTTTTTTAGATGTGTGACAAATACTTTTCTATTACTTGTCCTTTAACTCTTTTTATATGTATATTACTATACAGTCTTAAATGTTTAATATAGTCACATTGTCAATATTTTACTTTATAGCTTCTGGGTTTGAATATTTTACTTCAGGGTAAGAAAAATATTATTTTGTATTTTCTCCTAAAATTCCTAAGATTTTACATATTGATTTTTAACTCACCTGAATATTTTTTGTATAATGTGTGAACTAGGCCTCTGTATTTGTTTTATTTCAAGTAATAGTGGTCCATGCACCTTATTTGTTGAATAAGCCTTATTTTACCCATTGATTTGAAATATCAACTTAATCATTTATTACATTGTTAGGTAGATATGTATGTTCATCTCTGGAATGCTCATTATATTTCATTGATCTTGATTATTTCTGTGCTGGTGTCATGTTGGTTTAATTGCTGAGGCTTTATAATGGTTTAAAATATTTAATATTTTATAATTAACTTCGACACTTAAAAAAATAAAATCAATCTCTATGAAAGAAAGAAAGAAAGAAAGAAAGAAAGAAAGAAAGAAAGAAAGAAAGAAAGAAAGAAAGAGTGGGAGGGAGGGAGGGAACTCCTACCTTTTGTGACAGGATGGATGGAACTGGAGAATATTAAGCTAAGCTAAATAAGCCAGTTGATGAAAGACAAATACCATATGATCTCACCTATAAGTGGACTCTATTCAACAAAATAAACTAACGAACAAAATAAACCACAGGCGTGGAAACATGGAGCAGACTGAAAGTGGCCAGAGGGGATGGGGAAAGAGGACAATGGTGGAAGGAAGGGGAAGGGACTAGACAAAGACCATGTATGAATGACCCATGGACATGGACAACAGAGTGGGAATTGACTGTGGGTAGGGGGGGTGGGGGTGGGATGGGTGGAGGGGGATAAAGGGGGAAAAATTGAGACAACTGTAATAGAATAAACATGATTTATAAATTAAAAAAAATAAATGTTTTTGTACTAAAAAAAAAAAGAATGTTCAAATCTGTAGGGAATTTCTATAAAATTTTATTTGAGCCAAAAAGTGATATACCTGGGAGCAAGATTTCAACAGACTGAGAAAAGTGCTCCCTAGAATGGCAGTTAGCAGCTTCTTTTATGCATTTTGACTTAAGGAGAGAACATAAGGAAGATTACGGGAAGGCAGGAGGAAGCAAGACAGGGATTGGACTACGGGTTAGTTAACAAGATTATGTATTCTCTTGAAGGTGGCTTCTAAGGGGTCTGAAAAGAGGCATTTCAAATGTTTCTAGATGCACAGAAACAATGTCCAGGGCATGCTCAAGGCAAAGATAAACATGTACTAAAGAAGGTATATGCCTGGGTATGACTACCCACTACGACTTGCCCAGTTACGAATTTATGATCAGATTATCTTGTGAGGTTACTTTCTATAGGACCCCGTTTTTGTCCACAATATGTATTTATAGACTTCTTAGAAAACCTTTTATTTTAAAGCGATTGACTAACCCTGTTGAAATGATCCTTGCGGTTTTGTGTTTCTCTGTTGTGATGATCTGGGTTTGGATTTGATTCCATTTATTTAAAAGCACATTTGTGGGCTTGGTGCTTGCATAGAGAAGATATTTATTTAAAAATCATATAACTGCTTATAAAAGTAAGATGTTTGATACCAGCCTATTCTAACTCCCACTTAGGGCATTGATGATCTGACTGGAGAGCCTCTCATTCAGCGTGAGGATGACAGACCAGAGACAGTTGTCAAGAGACTGAAGGCTTATGAAGCTGAAACACAGCCAGTCTTGGAATACTACCAGTGAGTGTCACTTTTCAGAATTTCTCACATGATGAAGCACTAAAGCAGTTTTTGATAGTGCTTTACTGCTGAAATGCTAAAACATTAGAAGATCCAATGCAAATTGATTTAGATAAAAAGGATATTTATTAGCATGTGCAATGGAGAAGTCCAGGTGGTAGGTTGGGCTCCAGTCGCCTCTCAGCTTGAACAGTGTTTTGCCATTCTCTCAGCTTTGTACTGGCTTTGTCCTCAGGCTTCCTGCATAGTTGCAGATAGTTGCCAGGAACAGCCCTTTCATCAAGCGCTTAGGGGTCACCTTTTTCCCAGTGAACAAAAGCTCCGAGTATCATGTAGACTGAACCAACTGGACCAGCCACTGTGGTCAGTGAATGCCCTGCACTAACTGTTGCAGACCTAGGTTACTGCCCATTCCTGAACCAGTCACAGGGATGGGAGTGATTACTCTGATTGATCCACACCTGGAGCAGGGAGTGGGTCAATCTCACCCAAACTCCGCTCTCTGAGGGAGGGAGGAAGGGCTGGAATGAATGTTGGGGAGGCCAAACTAATGATGCACTTACCTGCCCCTAAAGGACAGAAGACTCTCAAATAGGAACCAATCCTCCCATTATTTATTTGGCTAATCGTTTTTAAAAGTTTATATTCTAACATAATTTTGTCTGCTCTGCAGGGAATTTCACAAAATATATGGGATCTATACTGAGTTAATATTTGGTTGATTCAAGCTAAGAAACAGTCCAGTTTCCTTACTCACCCTTTGTCTCTCTTTATAGAGGATTTGATTGGCAACCCCTTTCCTTTTGTACTGAATAATGATATAGTGTCAAGACAGTACAGTATTGTGATTCATGCACACACTCTGGAGCCAGTCAGCCTAAGTTCAAATCTCCGGTCACCATTTATTAACTTGGTCTTAACCTGTTTTCTCCCCTGTAAAGTGGGGGTTAGAATAGAGGGTTGAAAAATTGAGTTAATGTGTGTAATTCTTAGAATTGTTTCTGACACATGGTAAGCACTTTATAATTATCAGCTATTATTGTTGTTGTTGTTGTAATAGGGTAAGTATGCAGTGAGACTAAATCAATAGTCTGAAACTGTTTTAATAGTTACTTCTGGAGAGTAAAATTATTAAAAAGTTGGCAATTCACTTTCACAGTAGCTGTTACTATAATTTTATTGAGTTGGCCAAAAAGTCCATTTAGTTTTTTCCGTAAAATAAAAGACACATTTTTTCATTTTCACCAGTAACTTCATTGATTTGGATATTTTGAGTATGTTGACTATCTCCCGCATGGTAGAATGTTGATTGTTCTCAGTTAATGCCTTGATTTGATCGCTATCAACAGGTTTCAACAGGTCTACACAACCATGGAGTATCATCCAGCAAGAAATCTCCAGCACAAAACTTCTCAAACCACTTTTGACACATTCAGTCAGTCACAGTACCTTCCCCATACAATGCACAAATAATTTTTTGTGTGTGTTTCAGTTGTGTTTTTACCTTTCTTGAAATAATAAACCATAATATGCCAAAATGTTGCTTATTTTCTTCCATCTTCAATATTAAAATGGCTACACAAAGATTCACCAATTTTGATAAGTTTTTTTAAACACATGCTGATATGACAGCTGTCACAATACAATCTAACAAAATTGTTTTGAATGAAGTGAAAGACAGCTAAGTGTTACTTAGAGCCATCTTATGGAAAAAAACTAAATGAACTTTTTGGCTAAACCAATGTGATTTGTGTAATTAGCCTGGTTCTGCAGATGCCAGCACTGTGGCCCTGGGCAAGGGATTCAACCTCTGTGCCACAAATTTTTCACTTGCAAAATCAGAGAAATATTAAATAGTACCTACTTTGTAGGGTTCTTAAGGGAATTAAGTGGGAGAATCCATGTAGACTTACAACAGCCCTGGCACTATTAAACTACTCAGTGTTAGTTATTATTTACTCTGTGAACACTATGCTAGGCTGTTGGTCCAACAGGTAAAGAGACCCAATCCCTGCCAAACCCCAAGAAACTCACTTCTATCTGTGGGTGAGGCAGAGAACTAGTTAAACAGTATTGGTCATAAAATGTGCTTCTACCAATCAGGAACCTACTTTACACTAGTCTAAGCAAAAGGGAAATTTATTGGTCATGCAAATAAGACATCCAAAGGCAGATGCTGGGTCCAGGTGTTCAGTCGGTGTCATCAGGCCTCATCCCTTTCAGCTCTATTTTGCTGTGTTGGCTTTGGTCTCAAGTGGACTCTCCCTGCATAAGTGCCTCAACGCTACAGCTTACCTCGCTCACCTCCTACCAGTTCGGCTACCCCAGCAGAAAAGAGAGCCTCTTTGCCAGCAGAAGTCCTGGGGTTGGCATTGATTAGCTCATCATGTCCATTCTTGAAGTGGGAAGTGGGACAGTCCCACCGGAACCTCAGGGACCCAGTTTCCCATGGTGAAGATGTTGTTTCCCAAAGCAGTTTGTTATTCACTTAAAATTAACCAGAAGAAGGGAGAGTGCACTGTTGTTGGGCTGATAACATTGTAAAGCTATTAATAGAGGCAATCACCAAATGCAGTGGAGGTAGGGATCAATGCGGTCAAAATGTGGGAAGCTGGGGAAGGCTGCAGATATGAACGAGAGTCCCTAGGCGATATCCTAGTCTTTCTAGGCCTCTGGCTTTTGCTACTTCTTGTCATTGTTTGCAGCTTTTCCTTCCAGACTCCAGCACATAGAACCAGGGCTGGACTTAACCAAAAATTTAAAGAGATATTTGCAACAACATTAGTGACAATCAGCATTGTTATTTTAAAATACTGACAGCTGTATTGTTGTTTTTAAAACTCTTTCAGCTGCAGGACATTTATATCATAATTAGACCTGGGTTTACAAACAATATGATGTTCTTACTCTGTAGAGGACCAATATTTGAAGCTGGTTTTATTACATAAAAGTTAAAATGTTCATCCAAGGTGCATCTTTGGGATTGGTGTGTATAGTTGTGCCCTCAGTACCCATTTTTTGACACTGGCTTGATTTTAAAGTGCCTCTTCTAGAGGCTTACAGCTGTTAAGAAGCTTATTCTCTTGGAAGCTTTATGAAATGCCTGTGAATTTAGAAACAGGAGGACTTCTAATATGCAAAGAATACTGTATTTGCATCATACCTCCTCTTAACAGGAATACAGTGGGAATTATTTAAGGTAGTCTTAACTTAAATGAAGTATCAAAAAGGAATGCCTTTGTGTCCAGTGAAACCTCTGAAAATTCAGTGAAAACATTGCAGAGGCATGACAGATCCTATTTTTGGAAAGAATTAACTAGAGTCCCTCAGTTGCTCTTATGCAGCCTTTAAGCCAGTGTGTGTGAGTTGGTTGAAGGAGCAGGGTAAGCAAGAGGAACACCAGTATCTGTGGAGGGAACCTGTGTGTTTTGAAAAGGAACCCCGGGATTCTGATTCTCCTCACCACTTTACACCCTGCCCCCGTCCCCGCAGAAAATTAGACTAAATAGACTTTGATTGCTGGTCTGATGACCAGTCAGACAGATCTGCCTGGGGAGAAAAGGAGAAACACAATAAAAAGAATACTTTTATTCCTCTTCCCCTAAAATTCATGAGTAGCATAGAGGAAAAATAAATAAACATAGGTGAAAGAAAGGAAGCACTGTCAAGTGTTAGGAAGTTGTTTTGCAGGTGAGTAGCAGGCAAAGAAAGCCAGGGGTGTAGTGGGGGTGTCTCGGAAGCCCTATATATGAAAACCTTGGTGATTTGGGCTGTTTACTTTACATCTGTAACACACAGTTTTATCAGTAAAATAAGGAACCTGAACTTTCGAAAGGATTAAATAAACTATAACATGTAAAGCACTTATTACATGCACCATAGATGATAGGTGCTATTATTATAATTTTACATTTTTTAAAATCCTCACTCGAAGACATTTTTTTCAATGCTTTTTAGAGAAAGAGGAAGGGAGAGTAAAAAACTTCAATGCATGAGAGAAGCACAAATTGGTTGCTTCCCGTAGGCACCCCAACCTGAGATCGTAGGCACTTGGACCAGGGATTGTGCCTGGATCCGGGATCACATGCACCAGGATTGGGGACAGAACCCGTAACCTAAGTATGTGCCTGACTGGGAATCGAACCCATAACCTCTTGGTTATGGGACAATGTTCCAACCAACTGAGCCACACCAGCCAGGGCAGTGCTATTATTTTTCAAGTGGCCATTTCCATAAGCCAGAAGACCCAACTGAAACTAAAATTCAGTTTTTCCAATGCCCGGTCAAGTGCCTTTCTCTCTTGATCACGTAGACCTAATATTTACTGAGACCCCTAAATCCACATTATAATCTTTTAAGAATCACTTTGAAAAAGCTTGAGGAAGACTCAGAATTGTGTTTTTTGTTTTGTTATCTTTAGGAAAAAAGGGGTATTGGAAACATTCTCTGGAACCGAAACCAACAAGATCTGGCCTCATGTATATGCCTTCCTACAAACAAAAGTTCCTCAGATAAACCAGAAAGCACCAGTTACTCCGTGAGGAAAGCGCATGTAACTAGTAAGATGAGCAGAAGCTCCTCATTTGTGTATTTAGAGTCTCCTTGTCCTGAGACTCTGATGTGGGAATTCTTTGAAAATTATGTTTCATTTCTACTGATTTTCTTCTGGAAACTAAGATGTGCCAAATGTGTCAGATACTAAGACTAATCTTTTGAAATCATCTAGTATGTTTTATCCAGTTATCTTCTTGGGGTGCACAATTTGAAAACATTACAGATGTCTAACGAAACTTTTGAAAAATTGTTTAGAGTATAATTAAAAGAGCTATTGGTAGTAATCTAACTTTTGTTCAGAAGAGTAAGTGGTTGATAAATTTCCCTTATTTTTCTGGAAAAGTAAAGGAAAAAAAAATTCTGTCATTTGAGAAAAGTATCTCACCAGAGGATTTTGCTTAGACATGCCAAAAAGCCATATTTAGCTTTGTGGTACATAGTTTCGTGGTACTGTATGTCTATAAAATTCCAGGAAAAAAAGCAACTGGATTTACATATTAATTGAAGGATGCAAATTCACTGCTGCCTCTACACTAAGAAATTTATAAGCTAGCCATATATGTTGTATTTATTTTGTTTTTAAATGTACCTTCAGGTTACTCAATTTTCAATTTATCAATTAGCATAGAAAGTACTTTCCTATATGATTTATATTAGAAATTGACATTATAAGTCTTGTGAAAGGACCAGAGTTGGATTTTCAAATGAAAATGTAAAGACCTAGGTTAGGTCTTCAGAGGTTACTTGGGTTGATTTGTGCTTTTGGATCTACTTGCTGGTTTCTCTTTTTGATCAAACTGTATGATATGCCTTGATGAGATACATATTAAAGTAGGAAAAAAAAAATCCATGGCACTACATAAAGTAAGCATGCTTTTTTCATTAGGAAATAGATCAGGTTTGCCTGGGGAAAACTGTCTGACAAAAACAGCAATCATAATTAGTAAACAGGTATGGCAATGAAAAGGATTTACATGCCTGGTTAAAAAGGACCAAGGAACTGCGTTTGCTGAAGGGGTTCATTCCTAATCAAAGAAGTTGACACCTGCTAGCCTTCACTGCTGCCCTATCTTATGGGTAAAGGACCCTGCTGGTGCATGAAACCTGAGCAGCCATTTTAAAATAAAAATGACTTGGTTCCTTAGTGGAGCAACAAGGATGCATGCTTATGGATACACTTTGGCCTGGTAGAGTGGAGCAATATGAGAGGTGGAGAAACCTGTGTCTTCAATGGCATATTTACTCTTACTGTACTTGGTGCCAAATCAAATGAAACTAGTCCTCGTACAGCTGTTATGAACTGCCTTTGAAAATGTGGCCTGTTTTATTCTGGGCACTTAAAATGCAATTGCCAATAAATGGTTCTTACGTATTTTCTGGGGGGAAAACTTATTTTTCTTTCTTTTGAATTTTAAAAATTCAATTTGATCTTTCAAAATGGATCAAGGCTTTTAAAAAGGATTAAACATTTTTTTCTTTATAAAACTTTCTATAATGCCTTATTTGAATGTTAATATTGTGTGCTTTCTAAAAATGTTGTGAACTACTAAACTTATGAATTATCGCTAGGTTATCAGGCATACATTGGTACTAAGGTATTCGAATACAATTCCATTTTGCAGCTGTGGGTATCACTTTGTCTTTGGTAGGTCACAGAGCCCGCTCCATTCCACCCTCCGTTCTGCTGCCCTAATGACTCACTGCCTTCTGAATTAGTGACTCATTTCTAATAATTACCTTAAAACAGTACTCAAGCTGGTTTCCTTTCATGTTATACTTTATCTCCTGCTATAGTATTGCAGCCATACTGGCCTTCTTGGCACCCTTAGGAAGATTTGGAATCAAAAATAGGGAAGAACATGGCTATGAAATTTAAGACTCTTCTTCCCTGTGACCATTCCCTCCTCAACCCCAAAACCCGAAGTTTTGCACATGCATCCATTAGTTTGGGAAACATCTGCACTATTTCATTTTTCTTTAATAAAGCACACAAATAGAATTTGCTTTATATTCACTTAATGTTATAGACAGTTCTGATGATTATCATTGCTGGAGGAATTTGCTAAAAAAAAAACACCTCATAATGCTGTAATGATCATGGTGATGATTTATGTGCCACATGGAAATATATCTGGAGCTGAATGCCATGGCTAGAAGCTACTGTCTTAAAGGCTAATGAGAATAGTACTTAAAGCTATTACTCTATTTTCTGGAGTAGGAGTTGTTTTGGTATACCTTTCGTAAGCAGAATGTGTTGGGAGAAATGGAAAATGGCAGTTAGTGCCATCAGAAATTTTATTTCTCAATTCCATTTAAAATAGATTAAATACTGGCTTAAATTTCTAAACCCTAGCCCATAGCTACATTTCCCCCAGCCATTCACAATGGCATTCCAGCAAAGAAAAATATTTTGGATATTCATAGTTTGGGACAAAATTTACCTATGTTAATAACAAATTATGGTAATTACAAATTGTTTTAATACTTGCAACCAACAGTAAGAATAAATTTTTATTTTCAAACATGTTTAAAAGTTGTTTTCTCATTGACAAAAAAGTATTCTCACACATTAGTAAACTGCATAAATAGCTTTCCTGTCTTTGCAATCCAAGGTTGTGATTTTTGTAAGTTCCAGTTAAAAATTTTAAAACACAGTCAAAATAGTCTAGCTGTGCTTAAAGCTTTTGGGAAAAGCCAGTGTGCTTTGTAATGTTCATACCGTATTCTATTTTTTTTTTTTTTTTTAAAGCTCATTAATAGTCATGTGTTTTTCTATATATATATAGCACTAAGTTACAGTTATGCCAGATGGCACTTTGGAAGGATTTTACCAAAGTGCGAATCAATCTGGTGATGTGTCCTATTTTACCAAAGGGTTCTCAAGTGTTTGAAGAGTAAACAGCATGAGTGAGGAATCATGCTTTTTAAAAAAAACAAAGTGAAAGATGTGGGAATTTTTATCATTTTCTTATTTAGAAAAGATCAAACTTCAAGTCTAATTCTTCAAGGCTTATGAGAATGGTTATGATTTATCAGATGGTAAGCAATTCATAATGTTTTTATTAATCTTTGTATCCCATTAACTTACATAGTAAGCAAGCAGATACTTATTAAATGAATCAGCTTCTCAGACCTGTGAAACAGTACATACATGTCCATTATAGATGAGAAATGGATGCATAGGAATTTTAGGAACTTAATAAAACATGTATGATATAGAGGCAAAGTTGAAATTAAAAAGCCTGGCTGCAACCCAGACAAGTACATTTTTGTCCCACATCAGTTTAAGAAATGAAATACATAACTGACTTTGCAACAGTAAATTGACATCTTTTTATTTTTCTCAGAAAATACCCCAAGGTTAACTTTAGAATCACTTTGCTTAAAACCACCTTTTTTTCATTCTGTAAGAAAATCTACTTACTAGATTCATATTCTTTGGGCAGCATGTTAATTTACTTTAAAAAAGGTAATAGGAACCCTGGCCAGGTGGCTCAGTTTGTTGGAGCATCATCTCATACACCAAAAAGGTTGTGGGTTTGATCCCGTCAGGGCACATACCTGGGTTGCAGGTTTAATCCCTGGTGGGGGCGCATATGGGAGGTAACTGGTCGATGCTTTCCTCACATCGATGTTTCCCTCCCTCTCTCTAATCAATAATCTAAAACCAATATATTTTTAGGTGAGGATTTAAAAAAAGGGGGGGTAATAATCTTAAAGAAGACCCGACTTTCCTAAAGAGAAGGTATAGATCAATTATAAGTTCATTAGGCAAAATATGAAAGAGCCCCGTGATGGTATAATTCAATGAAAATGTTAACCATCTGTCTCTCCTAGGGAACAATTTTAAATCAGTACTATCTCTACCATCATTGATAAAAATGAAAGTTAACAGGGAGTAAATGGAGTGATAGCTATTTGATTTATTAAAAATCTTTTATTAGAATATTAATTTTATGAGATGAAACAAAGAATCCTTGATGGATACTTTGATGCCAAAGATGTTTCCTTCATCTGCTTGGACTTTCCATGATTTGTGCCTACAGAAAACCAACTAACCTGACATATGAATTAACCCTTTGTTTAGTATATGCTTATTATTTAAGAAACAGAAAAGAGGACATTTCTCTTAACAGGAGTTAGTTCTTAGTACTCAAGAAAAATAAAAAGGATGTCAATTTACTGTACTTAGTACTAAAGTATTACTACATATGTAAAAATTAGTCTAAGTGCAAATTATGGCATCAATCCTTGGATCCTAAAATAAATCCAATCACACTTTCACACTCAAAACATAGAACACACATCCTTTTCAAAGTAAAAAATGTGTGTGTATAGCTTTTAAAAAGCTCTCAATAATACCTATTTTAGAAAACAAAAACAGAAAATGCTCCAAGAATAGTTTACTCAGTTCATTGATTATTTCTCTCCTTCCAGTCTACAGTCATTATTAATACCTCAAATTTAAAGGCAGCAAAATGAAATTGAAAAGTTTGGATGCTTATAAGCAAATCTTGAGGAAAAGTGAGGCTGAGGAATGGAAAGTAATGGTTTGAGTATCATTTCTATGAAACTGAGGATGTTACTGCTGTGTACATTCTTTATGTACTAGGAAGGGAAAAATAAGAGCTTGCTCCACAACAGAAAAACAAAAGAAAAAGAAAAGAAAAAATAAACTTCTGTAACTAGGTCATTGGCTAAAAAAAAAAAAAATTACTACCATATAAATTAATCAAACATTTTATTGTAGAGTATTTCTTTATATCAAAAGCAGAAAAGTTTTATTCTGAAAACCAGTAAGATTTTGACGTTACGTAAGTATGATTAAGTCCAGTCCTTAATAAGTGCCTTATCACCTCAGTTAGTTAAAAGAAGATGCAAATGAGGCCATGGTTACAAGTCTGATCATCAGGTCCCTTAGCAATATTTGGTTTTTCAAGTTGAGACATGTATACCTAATCCCAGTTAGTCATCTTCCAAATTTTTGCTACTAGTTTCAATGGGACTGAACCAAAGGGTATACCCAATATAAATCAAAGCTCATGTTCCTGTAAGTCTGAAGATTAATCCTCAAATAATAAGGATAGCATAATTAACACTGTCATCTAATTCCAAATAAAATGAAACATCAAATATCCTGGCATATCTGAAAGTGAATTATATGGGAAGTAGTGAAGCTCCAAAGCATTCTATGGTAACTGAACTATAGAAATGACAAATGTAGTAAAAGCCATCACTACCAATAAGGAATACCAAGTTCTTACAAGTAAGTATCTGGCAGCTCGAGGCAGTTAGCTCTACAAGAGTTCTCTTGTCTTTTAAAAAAGTCCTTGGGCTACATCAGAGTGAAACAAACAATAAACCTAATTTTAAAAATCAGATTCTTCTTCCTGTTTGTTCTTACAGGCCATTACTTTTTTAAACTTGCTCCCTGAGAGATCCCACACTATGTCAAGTAAAGAAATTAAGAGTGAGCTTGAAGTTGGTCTAAAAGAAAAAAACAATCCTATATTAGCTTTATCACTTTTTAAGTCACTATATCCCTTACTGTTAAAAAGTCAATAGGGTAAAATCAATTTCTAAGGAATATAGTTTTGAGAATACCTAAGGGTTTAATTTAGTGTCTATATAAATTTGATATTATAGTCAAGGATTTATTTAACTGATGGTGCCGAAAATGCGAATGCAGTATTATTTTAAGGGGAAAACTTTTTAAAAATTGGTATCACCCAGCTTATTTAGTAAAGTAGATTATCACTACTGATTTATTGCTTTTAATATGATAAAACACCAGATTTGACAGCTAAATTAGCAGTAGGATACAAGGACATTTTGTCTTTAATCACTTTGAGAGAGTACGGCATGTACATATCTGTATAAAAAGACTGTAGCAGATGCCTCCTAGAATCAACCAGTTCTTGTAAACATTGCATTTGTGCAGATTTTCATACTTTGATTCCAAAATTGAGAACAATAAGATTAAAGGCAAATTTAGTAGCAAAAAACAAAGTTCAATTTGACTTCTTGTAACTTATGGTACCACTCCTCTCTTCAGAAAAAAAAAAACAAAAAAATCTAGCAGCACATAAAAAAAATTTTACAAAACATTTCAGTACTCTTTTTTCCCCTCCCATCAAAAACCGAACAAAAATAAAGTGCAGCACCCATAAAAGTGTCAAGAAAATAGCCAAGTTCTTCCTTTCTTGTAACAAAATAGTACTTGGCCTCAGCAGTCTTAACCAAATTATACAGTGTCCATCATTTTGGGTTCCTCATCTTCTTTATGTACCACTGAGTTTAAACTGCAGAGAGCTGTATTGATAGAATGCTGAAGATAATCTGGATTCTGGAAAAAAAAAGTATAGGGAAGAAACAATGGATGATAATTAGTTTTATGCTAGTATATGCAACTACATAATCAGTCTCACATTCTCTATTTCTCTGCAGTGTAGGAGAGCAGGAAAGAAGATGAACTTTGAAGGCAGACTTGGGTTGATACCCACGGTAAAGAGACAGAAAAATAGATTACCACTTAATCCAAAGACAAATGATAAAGACAGAAAGATGTATGTGAAAAATACAAATGTAATAAACACTACCTTTTTTCTCCTTAAAAAAAACAAAGAAACCAAAACTGTATATTGCCCTGGTTGGGAAGCTCAATTGGTTAGAGCGTTGACCCCATTTGTGGTTCGATCCCTGGTCAGGGGACATACAAAAATCAACCAATGAATGCATCAATAAGAGGAACGACAAATCAATGTTTCTCTCTTTCTCTCTCAAGTCAACCAATTTAAAAAATGAAAAAAAAACCCAAACAAACCTGTATAATTTTAATTATTTAATCATTCAAAGTTACATCTCCCATGTGATTATGTGTAGCTATAATTTAAAATACAAACACGGCTTTAAGTCAGAAATGTATATTATTATCTAATTTCTACAGTAAATACTGAATATGCAACACGAATAAGAAATTATAGCTATCTTCAGTTTATTTTGGTTTCTCGAAGGTTAAAACAAACTCAAGTGAGAAATCCTTAATCTTTTGAGAGGTACTCTGATCTATATGTTAAAAACTGGGAATAAAAGAACACTTTAATTTAGGTTTTATTTATTTTTTAAACAGAAGAACTCATTAATGTTCTATTTGTCCATTTCTAAAAACTATGAACAGAAAACTTTATTCAATAAATGCAAAGAGCCCTGGCTGGTGTGGCTCAATCGACTGAGTGTCTGTGAACCAAGAGGTCACTGGTGCTGTTCTCAATTGGGGCACATGCCTGGACTGCAGGCCTGGTCCCTGGTTGGGGGCACGCGAGAGGTAACCAACTGATGTTTCTCTCGTGCATTGATGTTTCTGTCCCTCTCTTTCTCCTTTCCCCTTTCTCTGAAAATAAATAAAATCTTACAAAAATGCAAAAATAAACCACTATTTGTTAGAGAAACTTAAATAAGGACTTAAGCCCTTAACCTAGGACTTTAAGCCAAGAATTCAATTTTCTCTACTCAAGTTGTTCTGAATATCCACTAGCTACTTAGAGTTTTACTACTGTATCACCTAGTGTCATTTAATTTATTTAATAAACACCAGTGAAGAAAACAGTCCAACCAGAAGAGAGATGCCTTAAACCTGCCCATCCCATAGGGAGGCAGGGTTATCAAAAGATCCTCTAAATAAAAGTATAATACTTTGTAATTCTCTTACTTTAAAAGTAAAAAAAGCTGGCCAGAAGTTAGATTACTCCCAATCAGGTCTTTATGAAGCAAGAGGCACAAATAACTGACTGAGATCTGGGACACTAAAATGACATTGGACCTCAGTTCAAATCCTGCCTCTATCACTTAGTATAATGAATCTCAAAGTAATAATAATTTATCACACCTTAACAGAATTAAAAGCTAGTATATAGGATAAGCCTAAGGTAAATATTAGTATGTCTTTATTAAGAGGCCTTGGTTGAGGTTTCTCAAAACTAAGGATAATGATATTTGGCTTATTTCTCAAGATTGTTGTCAATTAAAAAAAAGAAATGAAAAGCTAAAGTGTTACCCAAATTTAAGTTTTATAAAAAATTATTAATACTCTCATCACATTATCCCATTCTCCAAAGAAACAGAATGCTAAGACCCAATTCCAAAGGCCTTCCGAAGAGAAGTCTTTATTAAGACCAGGTTCCAGTTTTCCATGACAGAGTGTTGAGTACTAGAGTTGGCAAAGGAGTATCCAGAACTTATCTAACCATCTTCCTAAGAACTGCAAGACATCAACATGAAGAGACTTAAAAAAAAAAAAAAGAAATCAATATACTTAACCATATCTATCCTTCAATTCCACTGATGATATTTTCATCTAGTAACACTTTCAACACATTTCTTGTCCCAGTTCTTGACCAGTTCTTCCCAAAAGCACATGACTGAGTGTCTTGTCCTATTTCTTGCATATGATTCAATAACAGTCTATGGTATAGATGAATGAGCAGTGAAGTAGGATAGAAATCCAGGATTAGGGTATTAGCTCCATCATTTATTGTATTGACTCCAGGCAAATAACTTATGCACAATGAGCTTCAGTGTGTAGTATGAATGAAAATGAATCACAGGGTTTTTGAGAAGATTAAATAATACAACATACAATAGTGATTTGCAACCTATAAACTGATGTAATAAAAATGGGATGTTGTTATTATGGTAAGCTTTTCGTCCAAATCTCCCAGCTGACTACTTAGTTCCTCAGGCTGCCTCTCATCATATTTCCCCCAACCAGCTGACAGCCCTGTGCATCTAGCTGAAAGCTTATCCAACCCTTCCCTCCCTCAGGAGGAGTAAACCAAGATGCTCTTCTCCCATCATGAGGGTTGGTCTGTTAGACGGATGAATTAAGTGTAAACCACTCTGGTAACATCAGCAATTCAAAACTGTCAAAATTGTATAATCCCAGGTCTTCCGCCAAAATGACTTGCAAGGGACGCCTGAAGCAGATCTCAGTTGCTATCTTAATATGAACAAGAACTTCTCTCAAACCAGATGCAACTTTTTGGTAATGTAGTATCTCACGATATTTGAATGTATCTTTCCTTCTTATGTTAGAATCAAAGATATCCTTCAAAAATTTTTTCCTTTGCATTCATTGTAAGACATCTTAATTTTAGGTTTACATATTGGATTTGACAGTGGCTTAGTCATAAAATTCCCTTGGAAAGACTAGTTCCCTGTGGGTTATTTCTCAGAGAACTAAAGAGAAAATCATCACTATATTTAAAGAGCAGTAAGAGATAATATATAGGACAAATCAAAAGGGAATATTACTTACATGTCTAACTGTGGGGTAGCATGACTAATTATTTAAAAATCATTACTGATTATTTGATTATTTCCATTCTTCAGAATAACATTTTTGGCTGAATTAAATATAATCCATTGCTTTCCTTAAATTGTCCCTTTGGCTACAATACATGTAACAACTGAAATGGTGTAATTATAGAGACATAAGGTCAAAATATTGAAAATCTCAATTCCTTCTTTATGACATTTAAAAATAAACACAGGGCTCTTCTCACATTGCCTTCTGAATGAGACTTCCCTTTTCGTTGTGCAGGCAACAGACTAAACTTTAAGCTAAAGCTGCTCTTAAAATCTTGGGGCCTGGAAATGAGAGATTACTGGTCTCAATTAAAATGCTACTAAAATCAAAATGGGCAGAAACTTTCTAATGATAACTTAAAATTTTAACCCTAAGTAGTATCAGACAGACCAGCAGTCTAACCTCCTCTTCTTTTTGACATAAATTCCTCCATGGTAGTGACACTGTTTTACCTTGATTTAACAGCAGACTTCAAAAAGGCTCAAACAGCTGGCCAGTATTACCAGAAAGAACAGCTTAGCATAAGCTATATTAATGTGGACTAAAAATGTTACATATGGTAGGCGACACCAACAATTAGCAATACTAAATAAATTCATGTAGCACATCACCTTGGTATGATTTGAAGCTAATTTACTTTATTAAAATATTAAACAGTATAGATCTACTTTGAATGAGAAGTTCTTTGGAGCCATCTTAAGAGTTTATAATTGAGATAATAAATAGGTAACACTTGCCCTTAAGGATGCTTAGGCACAACTCATCTCTTCTATATTTTAGAGTGGAACTTGGTGTCTCTCTAAATAACTAAAAGATGGAAGAGATTTAGTGCCAAAACGTGGCATGAAATGAAACTCAGAGTTATGTTCTGAGGCAAGTATATTTAAAATGGTCACACATGTATTACATATAAGAAGAGTAGGAGTCCAAAAGAACAAAAATGTGAACTCTACATTTATAAATAAACACTTGCTCTTCCAACTTACCTGTGGTAAGGATTCTAATAAACCTATAGATCCAACACCAGAATGGGGAACATGATTCTGAACTGTCATAGGTTGAAAACTTGGTGATTGAGAATAATGTCTGACTCTTGACTTGAAAGCTTCAAGTTCATTTTTGAATGCTTCAAAATAACCTTCTTCCTCTGCCTAGAAAACACAGAACACGAAGACTGTTTTTGAAGATGTCCAAACCACATAGTAAATTCTAACAAGCCTATATCAGGTCTGAAATAGAGGAAGTAAAGATGAGAATAGTTTAAATGTAGAAACCACCTAGGAATATCAGTAATTGGTTTGTTCCATTTCCCTCTGCTTCAGCAAAACAAAACAAATAACAATCACTCTTTAAACATACAAATATGTAACAAAAGAAAGCTTTTTGTTATTCTTATATTTATCTGAGGTCTTGATAGGATCCAAAACAGTCCTCATTTACCCTCTCACAGTCTTCTCTTCCCACTGCCACGTAACAGCCAAGGGATATTCTTGAAACCTTTCAATTCTATACTAATTAATGAGGGGACACTATTACCTGTTTCTAGTGATTCTGATTCTATACTCCCTATCTGTAAAAGCCATGAAAACCAAATAAAACTCAACACTCAATATATCTTATGAAAATACCTTAGTGTTTCAGTTAAGAAAGTACCTTATTTTCAACATTACAGAAAGAAAAAAGTATGATGAATTATGTTGAGGTATGGGAGCTCCCTCTGATGATGTAGAATACAAACAAAATTCCCAAAACAAAACACCCTGTTGGCAGTAGCCTCCATTTATAAACATCTTTGCAGATAAAAAATGACCGTGCCGATCCTACACTACCAGACCACAAGCTTTAAGTTCAAATGGTGGAAAAGATTTTGTCAAAGTCCATTTCTTAATATCTGAGTCCACTTATCTGAAAAGCTATTTTTTCTTTAATGGAGTTTAGGATGTATAACTAGATTAAAAGCTGTGGATTAGTTATTAGCATTGATATCTATACAAATGCAGATAATGTTCTATGCTGCCATTCTATCTTTTTACAAATTTAGAGTCATTTCCTTAATTATATTATAGCATTTCACTTTGGTCAATATATGGTACTTGTGTGGACACATGAAATGTTAGCCTTTATATCATAAAGTAATTTTTCTGAAATGGTTATGCAGTAAACCTCTAAAGCAATCAAGTGGCACATTTGCTGCTCTTACTACATGCCTAACGTCTAAAGGTTTAGATCTAGAGAGACTTGACTGATTTTTGTTTTTATTAAGTAACCTATGGGTCACTTGCTTAATTCCTCTGTTAATTTCCTCACTTGTAAAACAGAATAATCCTCATAAAATGTTATGAGATTTAATGAGTTAATCCATGAAAAGTGCTTATAATAGTGCCTAGCACAAAGTACCCATGAAAGCTATTCTTTAATTAAAAAAAAATTATTATGTGCCCTGGCTGGGTAGCTCAGTTGGTTAAAGCACTGTCCTGATATGTCAAAGTTGTGGATTTGATCTCTGGTCAGGGCACATACAAGAAACAACCAATAAATAAATTTAAAAAAAGAAATTTATTATTTTGAACGCAATGTTAAGATCTAAAGATTTCAGTGCAATTTTGCCAAAGTAATTTTCAAAGACTATACATAGTGTGGCTATGTTCATTATTCTATTAAGCACTAGTTCAAACAGAGCCATTAATGTAAGATGAAAAAGAAAGTATGTTTTTTGGATGCCTGTGTGTTAAGTGAAATTTTGGAGTAGTCATCAGAAACCTAGCTAAAATATCAACTCAATCATTTACTCGTTATAACTGTACTGTTTTGGAAAAATTTCCTATTTAGGCTACACTTTGAGTTTAGAACATTTAATGTAGGACAACTACCACCCTGATATACATATTTTTTCATTTAAAATACATTTTCTTCTATTTATAAAAATATGTTCATTGAAAAAGAAAATAGAAGTCATTCATAATCCCACCACCCAAGTATAATCAAACTTTTGGCATACTTCCTTCTAACTTCGAATTATGTATACTGAATGTATTATGTACATGCAAGAGCATGTAAAGATACATGTATAGTTTGGACAAAAACCCACTATATACCCACACATATTAGGAAAAGCTCATTAGTATATTTAATACTTTATAAATAAGTTCTAGAGAGGCATTCCGTCTCTCTCTGAGCTTACCATTATTGTGACTTTTTTCATTATTCCTTTGCTTCTTTAGTTTTACCGCTTATATATGTCCTTTAACAATATACTGTTTAGTTCTGCTTGTTTTGAACTGGAGCCCTGGTGGGTGTGGCTCAGTGGATTGGTGGATTGCCTGTGAACCCAAAGGCTGCTGGTTTGATTCCCTGTCAGGGTACATGCCTGGGTGGTGGGCCAGGTCCCCAGTTGGGGGGCAGGCAAGGGGCAGCCAATTGATGATTCCCTCACACATTGATGTTTCTCTCCCTTTTTCCCTCCCTTCCCTTCTATCTAAAAAATAAATATTTTTTAAAAAATGGTGCTGTATATATAATTCTGTAGCTTGTCTTTTTTTCTTCACTCGGTCTTTTTTTTCATGCTGATGCTGCTTCATTCTAAGACATTTATAGACATTTGGGTTGCTGTTTGCTGTTAAGAACAATTATGCTATGAACATTATAGTATCTAGCACACATATGTAAGAGGTTTTCTAAGGCAGTAATTCTCAAACTTTATGGTCTTAGTGTTTCTTCACACTCTTGAAAATTACTTAGGAACCTAAAGAGCTCCTGTTTATTTGGTCTAATTCTATTAATATTTATTGTGTTAGAAATTAAAACTAAAGGGTTTAAAAAATATTAAGAAGCCCTGGCTGGTGTTGCTCAGAGGACTGAGCACTGGCCTGTGACCCAAAAGGTCACCGGTCTGATTCCCCGTCAGGACACATGCCTCAGTTGCAGGCCAGGTCCCCAGTTGGAGGGGCATGCCAGGGGCAACTGATCAATGTATTTCTCGCACATTGATATTTCTCTTCCTCTTTCTCTCTCCCCTCCTCTCTCTGTAAAAAGTAAATAAAATCTTTTAAAAATTAACTGAAACATAATAACAAACTCATTACATATTAAGATTTATAATATTTTTTTATTAAAAAAACAAAACTATTTCAAACCAAGTTTAGTAGGAAGTCTGGCCTAACAGAAGATAGCTAGATTCACACATCTGCTTCTATCAATCTCTACTACACTCATGATAGTGACAATGGCAAATAACATTTTAACATTAATATTATGAAGGAGTTTTGACTCAAGTCTTCTTAAAAGGGTCTTGCAGATCCTTGAGGGTCGTCCCTGGACCACATGTTGAAAAATCTATTCTCTATTATATATACCTAAGAGAACTTCTGGGTGTTAGTACTTGTTCAACTTTACAAGGAAATGTTCTGAAGTGGTTGTACCAATTTATACTCCCACAGGCAGTGAACGTAGATTCTTATTGCTCTACTTCCTGTACAACTTCCTAATATACTAATTCAGTGAATGTGAAATGGTACTTAATCTTTCTAGACATATTTATTTTTCCTTAATGTGGCCAATATCATCTTGTATATATAAACACGTATCACTTCTTTTCACTTAATAGCAAAGCATTATCTCAAATTATAAATTCTTCAAAATATAATTTTAATGGCTGCACAATATTCTTACATACCACAGTTTGTGGTTTTCTTTCTTTTTTTTTTTTGTCATCTGTCCTTGTTGAATTTTTTAGTTGTTTCCTATTTTTCATTACAAAAGTCTGACATCTCATTAAGCTTTAAGTTCTAAACATGGCTTTACTGTTTCATTCAACAATGTATCCTCAGCACCTTAAATAGCTGTGCTTTTGCATTAACAGTTAATTAATATTTATTGAATAAATGATGGAACACTCTGATTTTCCTGAATACATACATTTATTTGAATGGGTTTCAATTTCATGTCCATGGTATAGTCTCTTATATAGATCCCTTATGTCTAAATTAGCATGAAATCAGCAATATAATTTTTCTTTCCACTATAAAATTTAATCTGTGGCATCCTGGTTGAATGGTTTCCTTTGATGTATATGGATCAAGGAGGAGATTAAGGCCTAACCTTCCCATTTAACACCATATAGCTACTTACTTTGGCTTTCTGGAAAAATAAACGAAAACACCCTCTTGGATCCACATTACAGTTTTTGGCCATTTCCATAATAAACTGCATTACAACAGCTTGATGTGCTATTTGTTCCATTAGAGCCCCTTTCTGAAAATAAACAGATTAAAATTATAACAAATGCTTCTAGAGATACACTTTAAAAAGCTTATAATATTTGGGAACAAGAGATGGGGGCACAGGGTAGGCACATTAGAAAAACAAATTTCCATGTGCTAACTAAAATAACTAAAAAATATTCCCACAGTAAACTCAAGTAGCTCTGAAAACAAAACTGTAATCCCATTTAATGACCTCCTGCTTTCATTTAATGTAAAAACAAACAAAAAACATTTATCAGAATTCCACTGATGTTCCCAGAAATTCAAGGTTCACATGGTACCTGTTCGGCTTCTAGATGAAAACACCATAAAATAAGATATTTGGCAGTTTCTTCACATACAAGGTATGGATGGTCAGACAAAAATCTCTGACTATCATCCCATCGACTCAACATACCTGTAAAAAAAAGAATTAAAGCACAAATATCAAGTACTTTCTTCTTGTAAGTGAAGAAATGATATTTTAAAATGATTCTCTTTAAAGATGATTCATATCACCACAGCAATATGTTATGGTAAGAAAGCAAATGAAGAGGAATAAACTTCTTTTTAAGCAAAATGCAGTATATTGAAATAGCATCCAAAAAGTCATAGAAAGTTTTATTTCAGATAATTAGGCTTAAGTAGAGTGACTGGTTTAAAGCCAAAACTCCTGCATCTGGAGAATGCCTGAAGTCCAAGACAAATTGAGATAGCTGGTCTTCTTAGTGAATACAGATTTAAGGGGAAAAAACTTATTTATTTTTAGAGAGAAGGGGAGGGAGGGAGAAAAAGAGGAAGAGAAACTTCGATGTTTGCAACAGATGACGATTGGTTGCCTCTTGCACACCCCTATCTGGGGCCCTGGCCCACAACCCAGGTATATGCCCTTACTGGGAATCGAACCAACAACCTTTCAGTTCACAGGCTGGCACTATATCCACTGAGCCATACTAGCCAGGGCAATACAGATGATTTTGAGACTAAACATTATTTAGTCATAGAACCAGTATTTTATATTAGAAAGATGCAAAAGAGCAAAATCTTGAGAAACTACGCTTAGCAAACAAATATTCAGTAGAAAGTTCAGAAAAGTTACATTCTAATTTATTTAAAAATCTCTAAGATGATATGGTAAAATGTTGATATAGCATGGGAAACCAATACAGTGTCATAAAAAAATATACTTTAACCATTTTAATCACGTTAACCATTTAGTCACGATGACTGCTTATATACACCAAAAACAAAATCTTTCAAAAATTAGTTAAGCTCTGACTAATGTGGCTCAGCAGGCTGGGCATCATCCCACAAACCGAAAGGTCACCGGTTCCCAGTTAGGGCACATTACTGGGTTATGGGCCAGGTGCCCAGTTGGGGGCATGTTAGAGGCAACTGATTGATGTTTCTCTCACACATCAATGTTTGTATCTCTCTCTTTTTCCCTCTCTTTTCCTCTCTAAAGAAAAATAAAATCTTTTTAAAATAAACAAATAAACATTAAACATATTAATAAATGGTTGTCAGTTTGCTTCAAAAATCAGACCAATCCAAATATTACTTAAGGTTTATCTTCATTTTTACTCATATTAGTAAGAAATTTAGTAAAAAAGTTCAATACCACCCAAGTGATCATGGAACCAGCAAAGTGTTGAGCTTTTATTTAATTCTGTCCAGTCAGCTTTATAGTTAAATAAATTAAGTATAACACTGTTAGTTTTAGGGACGTCAGACTCATCCAAGGAAGTCTGGAAGTTACTGAATCATCATTAAAATTTTATAAGGCCATTTCAATAGTCTGGCAGTAAATCTTTCCTCTAGACCCAAAATGAACTTCTATACATTAAAGTTCTACATTAGAATAAAAGAAAGAACAAAACTGAGGACATATGCCTTGCTGAGAAATACATCTTTAGCAACACATGGGAATCAATTAAAAATAAGTGATTAATCATCTTCCTCATTTTAAAAAGGGCAAAGGCATTTTAGCATTTTCTTCTGGGGAGTTTTACAAACTTTATAAAGTTATTTCCCCAACACTTTGGAAACAGTGATTAAGTCATTTTAAATTCAGATAAGCAGAATGATTATGGAAGTTACTTGAAACTAGTTCTCAGACTATAATTAAAGAGCCTGATAATTTCTGAGAGTCAGAAGGATTAAAGAAAGCATAATCCTTATGTCTTATACCTGAAGCCATAGAATAAGTCCTATAAAGCAGTTTTGCCTTAGCTTTGTGACACTTCTGAAGAAGCAGTGTTTTCACCCCTTTATTCATAGAGAGAGCACTACTTCTCCTGTTTACTTCTCCATGGCAGCATCATGACTCAATGAGGCACCAAAATCTTACCCATTCTGGTTTCTTTCACAGGAGAGATAATATGAAAGGGTTAGTGTCGTGTAGGGACCATGAGGAAGGGTCTCATTAAATGTTAAATTTTAACTATTTGATACCTGAGACAAAATTAACATGAGGTTGACTGTTGTGGGGAGCACGGGGCTCCTGGATCTGAGGGTCCCTGTCTGGGGCCAGCAGAGGAGGAAGTGGGACTCTGAATCCCGCAGAGCCTGTCCTGGGGTTGTCACAGACGGGGGAAAATAAACCCGAGTTGTCGCAAACACTTCTCTGTCTGCCAGGAGAGGGAGCATGGCTCTTCCCTCTAGTGGAGAAGGCACCAAGCCTCTTTATCCAAAGGCTTTTATTGAAATAGTTATCAATGGGGCTCGGTAATAGGAATGTGCACATGATCTTGTTACATCAGTATGTTAATGTTTACAGAGAATAGATGATGTTTTGAAGAAAACAAATGGCAGGAACATATCGATTTATATGGGTCCGAAAAGAGAAAGGTAAACATGAGAGTGTAGTAAACATAAGAGTGCCAAAGTGTTTTGGTTAGGGTCTGTGAATAATGTAAATTTCCCTCCCAGCATGACCTGGCTATCATAGCTTTTGAGGGAGAGACAAAACATGCTTTAAAGAATTTACTTCTAGGTCTGATTCTCCCTGGGAACCGCCAGATCCAGTTTAGGACTGTCTCCAGTATTGTTTCAAGCCTGGGCCAGGTGAGGGGAGGGAGCCACCAAGAGACAAGGAGACTTCTTTAAAATAGAATGAGGACCCCAGCCATGTCAAGGCTGAGCTGAGGGGTACGGGTCTTTTTGCCCTTTCTCTGCATCCCCAAAGTTTTTGTCTTGATGGCCAATGGCTGTGCCTGGCTTCGGCTGTCCCTTCCATTGAGGGATCTTACCTGTCATAGACTACCAGCCATCTCAGGGCCAAGCAGGGTGATGTGAGGGAGACAGGGGCTGCGCCCCTGCCAGGGGGACAGGTTTTGTCTCCTCAGTGGCCTGTTTTCCCAAGGCCTCCTTGATTAGTTCCAGCCTCAGGGCCCTCTTGCCTGTTGGCAGGACTATAGTTCCTGAAACCATACAGGACATTTCCCAAAAGCTGACCATAGCTTTTCTTTATCTGAGGAATACTTGCTATGACTTGATTTAAAAAATGTATACCAAATTAGCCCTGGCTGCGTGGCTCAGTTGGTTCGAGCGTCATCCCGTGCACCAGAAGGATGAGGGTTCAATCTCCGGTCAGGGCTCCTATCTAGGTTGTGGGTTTGTTCCCTGGTAGGGTTGTGTATGGGAGGCAATTGAGCAATGTTTCTTTCTCCCTCTTATTGATGTTTCTCTCTCTTTCTAAAGTCAATAGAAATATCCTTGGGTGAGGATTACCAAATTATTATCAAATTTGGAAGTCAGATTACAGGTATTCCATACAGACCTTTGTAAGAAGAGTGTGGAATTTTATGAATAAATGTATCAATAGAATCAATAACTTAGTGGAACAGAACATATCTGAAAGTGCTAATGTTATTTTGGAATTTGTAAAAAAACATAAATAAATGGAGAGCAACACAATCTAGCATGATGGATAAGAAAACAGTCTAAGGTTAATCTGCCTGGGTTCAAATACTGGCCATTCACTACATCTTGGACAGGTTCCTTTTTACCTCTATACCTCCATTTTCTCATATGTAAAGTAGGATTAAAATAGTATCTAACTCACAGGATTTTCGTGAGGATTAAATAAGCCAATACACATAGAACACTTAAAATTGAGAGTAAATACTTAATGTTAGGTATTATTCACACAACATGAATAATTCATTTACTCATTCAAATACTAAGCTAATCCTTTGTTTACAGATAATCTAGTCATTTAAACTAGCCAATCAACTTCCCTGAATGCTTAAAAATTCTTACTTTGACAAATTAAAACATTTTAATTAAAAATAATTAATTTCACCTATAAGTTTTCCCAGTGAACATCTAAATCCCAATGAATCCATCAGCTTTCAATATTCCATCTGATTCCTAACACAGTCCCCAAATACACAACTTGATGATTTCCCTTTTCTTTTTTTGCATTATAATAAAAATGATAGATTTTAATTCTTCAAAATATATTCATCTTAATTTCTCTCTGCTAAAAATCTCCTAACTAGGTTGTGAACTTCTTAAGCAAAGATACGTGACCTTTTTTTCTATACTTCCTGAGCCCCAGATTTCCTTTATTCCCAAGCACCTACTAACAATTATTTCTACCTACATGTCTGCACATAAACTCATCTTATTTTAAACCAAACTCATTCTTCTTTCCCTGACATCTACAGTGCTTCCTAGGGTCTGTTACCCAATCAAACATTCTAGAAATTCCACTGACATTTCCATTCCTTCCACATCAAACTGATCACTAAATCTTGAGCTTATACTATTATCATCTGTTAATATGGTGTATCATATTGAGTTTCCTAATGTTAAGCCATCCTTGAATTCTTAGTATAAACTCTTCTAAATATTTTTCAGATTATAAGTATATTGTGAAGAATTTGAAAAATCCAAAAATAAAAATCATCTGCAATTCTACAAGAGATAACTAATGTTAATATTTTAATGTATTTCCTTCTGGGCTTATTTCTTTTTAATTTTTTAAAAAGATTTTATTTATTTATTTTTAGAGAGAGGGGAAGGGAAGGAGAAAGAGAGGGAGAGAAACATTGATGTGCGAAAGATATATAGATCAGTTGCCTCTTGCATGCCCCCCTAACCAGGGACCTGGCCTGCAACCCAGGCATGTGCCTGACTGGGAATCGAATAAGTGACCCTTTGGTTTGCAGGCTGGCGCTCAATCCACTGAGCCATACCAGGCAGGGCTTTAAAAAAAATTTTTTTTTTAAAGATTTTATTTATTTTTAGAGAGAGGGAAAGGGAGAAAGAGAGGGAAAGAAACATTGATGTTTGTGAGAGATACATTAATCGGTTGCCTCTCGTGTGCCCCCAACTGGGGACTGGGCCCGCAACCCAGGCATGCGCCATGACTGGGAATCAAACCAGTGACCTTTCAGTTCGCAGGCCGGCACTCAATCCACTGAGCTACACCAGCCAGAGCTGGGATTATTTTTAAATGACTTTTAAAGAAACAAAATTAGAATCCTATACTCCATATTAATTTTCTAGTCATTTCACTTCACGTTCTATTCAAAAGTACTTTATATTAAATGTTTTTCAAAAATAGGATATTGACATGTTTGAAAAGCAGTATGTGAGTAATTACATTGAAGAGACTATGAATATCTACCTTCAGTATAACTGGAAAAGATACCATCATTGTATTCATGCGTATGTTTACAGCTTTTGATAAAATTCCCAGTGACAACATTCTACACAGGTTCGAAAACTGCTGAATCACAGCTAAGTTTGGCTGGAGGTGAAGAGATGATGTGCCATGAAAAACTGTGTTAGATAATCAAAAAGCAGCTCTGATGATCATAAAGACAGATGTAAATGACTTCGAATAAAACTTTTGTGACATTTAAAAGACTGTGTTTCTAAATTGATTTTATATTTATAAAATATGAATTAAATAAATAAAACACAAATATAGGGGAAAAACTCAAGATTCAATGCTTTGTAATAAATCATGATATGCTTTTTATCATTAGATGGCAAATTCTATCAAGTTATAGCAGTTAAAAGCAACATAAGAGAGAGTTTCAACATATACTACTAAGAAAAGTTAGGAAAAATTTTAAAGAATGTAAGTACACATGAAACTAGAGAAGAACTGGTGTGGAAGCCTCTGCAGCTCTTTATAGCCTCACATGTACCAGGATCATGTCTTCCAAGAGTCTGGAATGCAATGCAAGTTTGGAAAACCTCCAGCTAGAAGCTTTAATCACAGCTGCTATTCCAGATGTATTTACTTCAACGAAGTGTATCAATGTCATTATTCTGGAAAATGTTTTCTTTCCCTTTACCACAATAAGCATAGAACACCAGAAATACTTCTACTCAGTAGGGACAGCATTAAACTTTCACTGCCTCAGATCTCTATCAACTGTGCTATAACTTAACTCACAGAACTTTGATTATCTCATTATCCCACATGACTGTAAGTTGGTCTACTTCACACTGATGAAACTTGGTGAGCAGGGAGTAGAAGGTATCAGATGTCTTGTTAAGATATAAATATGCCAGAAAGTTGGAAATAAAACCCAGTAAGTATTTGGGAGCCTAAGACCTTAGTTAACAATTCTGGGGGATCCAATGGGCTGTAGCAAAAAGGCTATAGTCTCCAAAATGAAGAGTCAATGTGCATGTCCACTAACAAACGGCACGATATGAATCTGGGAATGGGTATGTCTGGTTAGCTTTGAAGACAGTAAGGCTCTGGTTAATATTATAGTATGAGATACTGGAAGTCCACACAAACAGTGGCCAAACAACTGTTTATTAATCATTTGTGGATGTTATGACAGTCATTACCCTCAGGCATCTCACTGCTTTGATGGTATTTCATAAACTAAGGGGTCATAATGGCAAATTGAGATTATGCAGAGATTTAAGAGAATGGGATCTCCCTCATCAATATTCCACGATAGCCACTGAACACCTAGTTTGCAAGTAGCAGAAACCAGTGCTGGAAGCTCAACATGGCACCTTATGCTGGAGAGACCAGCCAACAATCAAATAACAGGTTGATTATTTTGGTCCCATTTCATCTCAGAAGGACCAGTGGTTTCTCATTTGAACAAGCCCATTCTAGATACAGCACTGCTTTCTCTCCTTGCTATATCTCTACTAGTAATACACTATAGTCTTAACTAAATGACTTATTTCCCATACCACACTATTTATTGACCCAGAAACTCATTTTACAGCAAAAGAAATGAAGACAATGGGCTTGTGAAATTCACTAATATTATGAATGTCACTACCCCAAAACACCAGGTTTACTGAATGATGAAATGTCTTACTGAAGATGCATACAGTTATAGTGCCAGGTGGGTTATTACACTTTGTGAGGTAGAGATATTTTCCAAGACAAAATTGCTTCTGACCAAGTTAACAGGAAAAGTGAGGGAACTGTTTCACAACAACTGGTTTCACATGGCTCCAAAGCAAACTAGCCTATATGCCAGCTGGGTGACAATAACCTTGATGAATACTATTCCACTAGAGGCAGCCATACTCTGAAAGTGCAATCAATATATGGTACTCTTTTTCCTACAGCAGAACACATAGGCCTAGGAAGTAAGAACTGTAAGTGAATGACAACTTATATTGTTACAACTAAGATGCAGAAAAATTTTGCTTTTTATCCTATGACTCAAGGGCTCTACTCATTTAAAGATTTTAATATCTATCCAAGGTAAGTCTGTTTATCCTTTTTTTCCTATTATAAATAATACCAGAATAACAGTATAGTATATGTAAGAATAAACTTCATTTCTTCAGATACTATTTGTCAATTAAATAGAATACACAGCTTATGTTCTTTTTTAAAAAAAGTATGAGAAATTGAGTATTTTATGAATAAACTGCATAAACAGAAGAGAAAAAAAGTCAGGCCCTGGCCGGATAGCTCAGTTGGTTAGAATGTTCTCCAGATGTACCAAGGTTGAGGGTCTCATCTTGGTCAGGGCACATACAAGAATCAACCAATGAATGCATAAGTAAGTGGAACAACAATTCGATGTCTCTCTCTTTCCCTCACTCTCTCTAGTCAATAAATAAAAAAATTTTAAGGGGAAAAAAATCTAATGTATTATCTATTAACATGACGTAACTGAGGACGAATGAAATTCTAAATACTTTGTGTTGGGGGGCGGGGCCCAATAGAAAAAAGATCTTAAAATGCCATTTAAAAAACATACTACAAATAAAAGTTGTTTACTATATTAAAATATTATGTACTTGTAATAAAAAAAATATGCCTTGAACCTTACTTAACTCCTAACACTTCCTAGTTGCATTTTCACTCCAGCAGTATCACACTGCTTACAAATCTTAAAATACAGCATGTTGTTTTCCACCTCTGCCTTTGCACATGCTGTTGCTTTGCCTTCCTTGTCTACATGGAAAACTCCTGTGTTCCTCATAATCCAGTTCCAATGTTACTTCCTCTGGGAAGACTTTACTTATATTAATCCCTATCTCATCACCTTTTCCCTACAGAGAAAACTCTTTTCCAGTTCTTTCTATACATATTTCTATTATTACATTTATCTGAATAACAGTACAATGATCTGCATGAATTATATAGCATCATACCCAAAACACAGGGGAAAAAAATGAATGCTAATCCTATAACCACACGATAACCAGATGCCAAGGAAGCAAAAAGGAAAAAAGACAAAGCAAAGATTAGGTGAGAAATGGAAAGAGAAAAAAAGTAGAAAAATGGAAAGAGTGAATAAAAGCTGTATCTTAGAGGGTAGTATTATATAATAATAAATTACATTTGCTGCTCTTCACAATTTGGTTTATTCTGTCAGTACATTTCTGTTATGATCATTTCCCCCCTTACCAAGAATGTCTAAAACAAGAGTTATACAACTGTACCAGAAGGAGTTTGTCACCTTCTTTTTGGTTTCCATTTTATAAATCCTCATTTTTGTAGACATATTTATGATATCAACTGTTACAGGTGACAGAAATTCAGAAGTAAACTTACCAAAATGTCTGATTTTTTGCTCATATTTCTGCATAAATGATTCTGATTTATCTTCATCTTCTACTTCTTTTCCTTTATCTTGATTAATAAAACTCTAAAAAAATATTTTAAGTTAAAATCAGATTTTGTATTCTAATTGACTCTTCTTTCTCAGATACTGAATGTCTGGCAATCCTTCCTATAGACACTATAAAAAGATGGTATAGTATTATACTGATATTATATCATTAAATCCATCAGTTAAACTCTATTAAACTATTAAAATGTACTAGAACTGAAGTTTAATTAGTTTTACTTAAAGTGATAGATGTGTGGAAAATTATGGGATTAGTTTAGAAATTATATAGAAAAGCAAATGAATTAACCCTTTTGTTAAAAAATTTGCTCTATCATTTATATTTTGCATTACTCATTTCCATCAGGTATACAGCTCTAGACCAGCAACTTTCAACTTTTTTCATGTCATGGCACACATAAACTAATTACTAAAATTCTTCAACATACCAAAAAATACGTTGTATTTTTTGCCAATCTGACCAAAAATAAATAAGGTGTAATTTTGATAGATTTACAAAAAAACTAACAACATTAATTACCTACCCTTTTTGCTCCAAAGTAACTTGAAAAAAAAAAATCAGGTGTCTATAGCCCTGCTGGGTAGCTCAGCTGGTTAGAGCACAGTCCTGATATGCCAAGGCTGCAAGTTCAATCCTCCGTCAGGGCACATACAAGAATCAACCAATGAATGCATAAATAAGTGGAACAACAAAAATCTATGTTGTTCTCCTTCTCTTCCCCCCTTCCCATCTCCCTTCCTCCCACCCTCTCTCAAAATCAATAAATAAAAATAAAATAAAATAAAAAATAAAGGTTTAAAAAAAATCAGGTGTATATACTTGTATATAAGGATTTCTGGTACCAAAAATTAACCAATCAGAAGCAACCTTATTATGCAACGTGACCAATAAGATGCAACTCTATTATATGACCTATATATTTATGGTTCAGGACAGGACATTCACCTCAAATAGCTATTGTTTTGGCTGTTCTAATTTTTTAATTTGACACCTAAGGGAAAAGAGGTCAGTGCTTTGACTAAATAGTCAATAGTCAGGTATTGCATGTTTTAGAACTTCTGGCCACACACCAGCTGAAATCTCTGCTCTAGACTAATCTTTAGCAATCTTGCTGGATATGAACTCAAAAATTCAAAGCATATAGAGAATAAAGTATATTTACTATAAAGTCTTGGACAAGACGTAACCTAAAATAAACCTTTGTTGTCAACTTTTCTAAGGAGAAGCCAAACAGTTTGATTCTGAAATAAGTACAAATTTCTATTAAGGTGCTTATTTTTGATTAAACAAGTCATAAAACGGACCAAGGTTAAGTTTGTATCTGGCCAGAAAAAATGGCAGAACAATTTCTCAGAAAATTCTGTGGTCACATTTAAACCTTGAGACCATAACTGCCAAAAGTGAAAATTGCAAACTAGTTCTCTGCCAGTTTACAATAAAAAAAGCACACAAGTTTCTATATTTCAAAGTGAAAGTATTTTTAAAAAACATATTCTGCTATCTAGACCAGCACTGTCCAGTAGGAATATAATCTAAGTCACAAATGTAAAGTTTTCTATCAGCCACATTAAAAAGCATAAACACATAAATTGATAACATTAATTTAACCCAACGTATCATTTTAACATGTAAGCAATACAAAAATATTATTAGTGAAATATTTTTTTTTTTTGGTACTAAGTCATTGGAATCTGGTGTGTATTTTACACTTACAGCATATCTCAATTCGGACTAGTCACATTTCAAGGTCTCAAAAGCACATGTGGCTAGTGGCTATCAAGTTGGACAGCGCAGATCTAGACCAGTCCTCTCAAGTCTCAAGCTCCCAGACAAAATCAATGTAGGATTTTGAGCAAATGACTGGAACATAAAGATAGTCCTAATTAATGTGTTGTATAAATGTAGGCCTTGTTAGAACCAACGTTTAAAAAACAATTAAAAACACAGAAATGAAAATATATTTTTTGTGACCACTGTGTTGAGACATTAACTTTATAACAAAGAAGCATTGTTTTGACCATTCCCTCTGGAAGAAGAAAATTATTTTGAATAGCTTTAGGGTATAAATGTATAACACTTAAGAAGACACCCCCCTTAGAACAATACACACTGAAACAGCAAAACATTCAGATACAAGTGATCCTACTGTGGGAGAGGAAAAATATATAAATATAAATTGTACAAGCACAGAAAAAGTCTAGAAAGATACAACTCACTATTAAGAGTGGTTATCTCTGGGAAATGGAATTGGTAGTGAAGGAAGGCCTTGAGTTTTATTTTTCATATTGATATGTCCTGTTTTTACAATGAGCATGTTGCTGCAGTCTTATAATTTTTCTCAATTAAAGAATAAAGTACTGATAAGGCTAGTGGTTATCATTTACCTATGTATATTACTTATTGCTGTAGCAGAACTACAGCTGGTCTACGGGAAGGAAGTTAAGGGTTGTTAAAAGCGTGGGTTGAGAGAGAATGCTAGAACAGAAACAAGTACTACAGATTGAGAAGTCTGCAGAATAATGATGGTTAAACATAAACTGAATGTGAACTTTGACAAGAATGAGCAGTCTATTCCTGAAGCTTGAAAAGTTTAGTACAAACAGAAAGAAGTACTACTTTACACATTAGTTGAAAATGACTGAAGTTCATTGTCTGTATCTACTTCAGAACTAAAAGCCAAAAAAATAAGGCCTACAGAATCCAGTAAGAAACAGAACTATTAACTTGGCACAAGTACTGTATTATTCCTTTCACTAATAATGCTTGTAATACCAAGTCCAGACTACTACTATCTGAGCTTTACTAAATACATACTGGTAAGTAACAGTGAAAGACTTTATTTAGTAAATCCAATAACTATACATTAGTGTTAAAAAACTAACAGCAAGCTGGTAACATTGCAACATTAGAAAGCCTTTGTAAAATCTTAGCTTTATCACATGACAGGTGCCATGCTACTTGTTTTTAAGACATCACCTTATTTAGTCTTCATACCCACCCCAAAAAGTTGAGGGAACTGAGGCTTAAAGATGTTAAATGACTTGTCCAAGGTTACAACCAGCACACTGACAAAGCTAAGATTTGAGGCAGTCTGATTCCAGAGCCCACACTTACATTCAGTGTACTACGCTCTAGCTACATATTTGTATTAAGAACTACCCACATTAGACACTATTGGGGATACAGTTTTCTGCAACAAGCACTTTTCATAAACTGTCAAAAATGAATATTGTTTCCAGGATTCTGTTGCTTTGTTACTAAATATGCACAACAGTTTGTACAAACACTTTGGTTTTTTCTTCTTCCATTATGGTGCAAAAAAAGTCATACCTTATTAAAAACATCCTTGCTAATGGCATCCATGTTCCACAGACACATTCTCTCTCTTTGTACTAGAGCCTCTTCTTTCTGCCGCCATTCTTCTTCACGTTGCCTCAGTTCTGATACTGCTATTTGTGCTTTGGCATGTTCTTGATCCAAGGACTCAGAGTTATGCAGTGCTAAACTACCAAGTTTCTGCTGAGCTTCAGCAAGATTCCATTTGCATGCCACAGAGCTCTTCACGAACTCTTTCTGCTTTTGGCAAGCCATTTCAATTCCATGGCTATACATCTGGATAAAAAATAATATTTGTAAGACATGAAGAAGGCATTAGGTATGTTTATGCAGTACAGTTCAATTTCTTTCAGTCAAAGATTACTGTACAATGTTTTTGGTGCGTAGGTATGCCATCTTCTGTGTGTGAAGTTATATTTTATATTATAGGCCTTGTTTCATCAACTAGACTCAAAATTCTTTGTTAATCGGTGCTCCTCCCCCAACAACTAACAGTAACATAAAGCCTGGAAACTAACAGTATTCTTCATATAGCTGATATTCAACAAACACTTGATTTATAGTCTTTATAATCTGAAATGGCAGAATGAGAAAATAAAAGCTTAAATCTGGTTCATCATCTTATCACTCAACATGCTGAAAACCATACCTTTAGAATTTTGACCTGCAAGTTATTCATTGTAAAGAAGCTTTTATTTACAAGTAATAATTTCTTGGTTTCTATTTTCTTTCTGTATTATTCCAACCCTTGGCAATCTGATAAATTCTTATTGGCAATTTCTATTTATAACTGACTATATGAAATAGATACCTTTCACCCTAATCAAAACAGGCAAATTTATTAAAAAAGCCAACTGGTTCACCCTGGTGATTCTGTTCCACTCAGGAGCAATAGTAATTAGCTTTAATAGTTACTGAACCCATTTTATGTGATGGGTGCCTTATATTCCTCAACTGTATAAAATGAAAGTTGAAGGCACATTCTTTGATTTCTTAGCCAAAATGTAGACCAATTTCAAACTAAAAATTCAGAATAATTTTACTCCAGCCTGCTCCCTTATGTGCATCACTATTCATGTTTTTAATTATATAAATACACCCTTTATCATTTCAAGCCATTCTCTACTCTGATAGACTTGGAATGCTCTCCACAAACCAAATCTCATTCTTAGTGTCTCGTGATAAAGTGCAAACTCTGTGACATGGCACTCTCTCTCATGATCTCACTCCCTATTATCTCTCTGGACTCACAGTTACTCTTCTACCTGTTTGCTTATTCTCCCATCTACCCCTTCACCGTGGCTCCCCCTCCCCTCACCACACTCCTATCTCCATTCCAGATTCTGGCATTACATCCCTAAATTATCTCTTATCCCTTCCCTCTCCATCCAAGTTATGCATACTTCTATAGTGGTGTTTTCACAAAATATTGTGCTTATTTGTTCAGTCAACCCTCAGCTCCTTTAGGACCTAGAATTCAAGAAATCTTAGATGAATAAATGATTCTCCACGTCACGGAACAGACTAATGGCAGTAAAGAATTCTGAGGCAAGGTGTAAGCAAGACCCTTACTTTCTAGATGAGAGACTTCAGGCAAATTTAGATTTCTATTGGGGCAAATGTGAACACTTGTTTTTCAGATATTTTAGTTAATCATTTAGCAGGTTTGGAGCCCAGGCTCCACATGGCTCTAACCAACAAAGTACTTATTTTTATTTTGTGCTATCTTAAAATAGAATCAAGAGTTAAGTGTAGACTAGCTATGTTTTAAGAAGGGGTCAGAAAAAGGAGAAAAATTAAGCAATAAAATTTATATTGTAAAAACACCAAAGATATACTAAGAATGTACACAAATGGATCTTGGGTTTTCCAATTATGGAAAAGCAAATTCTCAAGTCATTTCTTTGTTTTTTTAATTTTAATAAGATTTTATTTGAGCCAAACTGATGACATTTGCTGGGGAGCAAGATCTAAAATGCTTTTTTTAAAAGTCATTTCTTGAACACTTAAATTTTATCTCGAAATTCTAAAGATGATTTATGTTTAAATTCTTCTCTACAGACTACAAAGACATTTGGCCATTTGAGCAAACTATGCAACATGTATTGAGATGACTAAGTAAAAAGTCATATTTTATGTCAAAATACTGAGATTTTAAAGGGACATTAAACATAATTTTCATGAACATAAATTCAAAAAAGAAATTGTTAACATTAAGGTATACTTATGTAACTTTATCTCTAAATTCCAAACTGCCTTTACATTAATTGGATCTCAGAATTATGCATCACATATGACATTAAGAAGTCTAGATTCCCCATAATCGGTACAATTAAATCAAAGCCATTTTAATAAAGATTATAAAATATATTTATATATTAAATTACAAATGAAATATTTTATTCTTCCCAAATATTCCAACCCAAAATTTAAGTCCTAAAGCCAGCAAGACAAATAAGTAGGTTATAAACACATGAACAAATTTGGGATTAATAATTACTTTACAAATTTTAGCATCATTCAAAAGTAGTTTCAGACAAATTGGGCTTTACATTACATCACAGGTTGGGCAATGCAGTAGGTGGGGAAAGAAAAAGCACTGTACTAGGAGTCAGAGAGGAATCTAGTTTTAATTTTGCCACTTACTTCAGGCAAATCACTTTTAATGAAAGAGATAAGCCTACTCACTTCTAAAATCCCTTTAAGCTAAATAAGCTTATATTTCCAAGTGTAAGAATAAAAAATATACAAATATTTTTAAAATTCAGTTTCTCTTAGGTTACTCTTGTGATTCAACCACAATGCACTAAAATTCTTCTAGCCTCTCCATATGCCTTGAAAATTGACAATGGCAGCTGCTGTTCATTTTTTTCCTCTAACACATTCATTATGTGGTTATATAACACACTTTGTAGACAAAGATGACACCAGTGATCCATAATTAGTGAGTGAGTACTGACCTATCAACTCTCACTCTGTCTTCCTAAAAAATGTTCTGCACTTTCCCAGTGACTGGCTGGCCGAAGTACAGTCTTTGTTATGAAACAGCATTTTTCTCTGTGTGAAGTCAACACCATGAGCATGGCACTGGATCAATGACCTTACATTTATTGACAAACAATTTTAAATTGTTCATTCATTAACAGCTTGCAAGGTGAGTCTACAGAAAAACTGTATTAATTCGGCTAAGCTCTTAAGGACCCTATTTTGTAAGAAACCTAGAAAGCAGATACAGATAATCCGTTTCATTGAACATGTGTTTAGTATGTGACCCTAAAATATACTTTCAAAACACACTCAGGTTAGGAGAAAAGCCAGGAAAAGGTACTCTTTTAAGAGAGGATCTTGAAATATCCTAAATGGTACATCGCATTTAGATAAGTTTAGGAGGAAAGAATGCTCAGGTGAAAACCAGGAGTAGCATTAGGAATTGCAGAAAGAAGTCTGAAGGAAAAGCCAAACGTGTGCCTATGTGTTTTTACTGGAGAATGATGTGAAGCAAAACTAAAAACAACTGTAAGGGTTAAAATGGTCAAGCGAATGGGAGAGATTTACGCCAGTATCAAAAGCGCGGTTTAAAGAATTTGCTCAGATGTCGCGTCAGTCAAATTACATCAGAAACCTTTAAAAGTCGGGAGCTCAGTGAATTGTTGAAATACCACCATTTACTGTTTCTAATTATCAACTATTTCCAAGTATTAGTCTTCAACGGAATAAAATGCTCGGATAAAACCACGCACAAGAAGACAAAGGGTCAATGTTACAGCATGAGCGGCCCCCAATCTGGGTACTGTCAGGAGGGGGTGAGGGGAGAAACGTCTTCCAAGGGTAAGGAAGCCAAGGTGAAAAGGTGTATGTAGAGGCGGAAATCAGAAATGTAGGGCAAGCCCCTCTCTGAAGCCCTGAGAAGATGCTACAATAGCTGTGGGATGGCATCAGGCCCTTGGCCCCCGCGGGTGAGGTGGGGGCGGCAACACAGGGCACAGAAGAGGGTCTCAGAGACAGGGGACTCTGGGAGCCTGGCTACGGCACCGCCCCTTCCGCCTGTAGAAAGAGGCCCCCCCGCGCCCCATCTCTCACCTGGGTACTGCCGCCGGGCAGTTGTGGACAGCGGGGAGAACTGGGAGACATGTCCAAGTCACTCTCTTCCTCAGCCTCACCCTCTGCCCGAGGGACGCTCCAAGGTCCTGGAGGCGGCCACGGCTGCTCCATGTCCAGCTGCCCCAAGCCCTTCAACCCCCACTGCCAAAGGACTTGGCGTGAGTGAAACCTGCTGCGCGGTGCCAGCCGCCCCAGCCGGCCGGGGCCGTTACCCAGAATCCCTCTGCTGTTCGCGACGTCGGCGCACGCCTCACGTTAGGATGGGCTCCGCCACCGGCGGACAGCGGAAAAAGACAGACGCGATTTGGGACGTCACTTCCTGCTTGGTAGGCGGCTGTGGGAGGTGTGTCTTGGCCCCTACGTGTAGTGGATGGAACCGGAAGCCTCTTTTTTCAAAACTCGGTTCTCTGAAAACTTTAAGTTTTGGCGATGTACCCCTAATGGTGTCGCGGGTCATGTAGTTGTAAATTCTTATTATCTAGTGTTCGTTGTGTTGTAAATAGTGAGTCTTGGATCCCGGGTGGTCCTCTGACCGTCCACTTGTTTAAAAATCAGAACTCATTGCTATACATTGATATGAAAATCAGTTTTTCTGAAGCGGGGTAGGGGTAGAATTTTGAAAAGCAGAGCCAATTTTCTTCTCATTTCGAGTTACAAGCAAAGAGTTGTGCGAAACTTAGGAGAAAGAAGAGAAGGATTAAGTATTGAACCAAGCACTGCTTTAAAAAATTAAGACGAGTACAAGTAATAGCGAACCTTCAGGGGAGGTTTTCTGTATTTCTGCGTGTGTCGTTTAATCCTACAGATTTGTTCTCTCTAAAGACCCAAAATGCCCAAGGTCATACATATTAAGGGGAAGAACTAGGATTAGCCTAGGGAGTGTGACTTCAAAATGTGCACTTTTAGCAATCAGGTATTTCTGCCCTACTTACCATTAGAGACTCATAGAAATGAGACATAATTTTTTCAGTCTATTAGATTGTCAGATTTTTGAGGTTATTTAATACCGAGTCTTGACAAGATGTGAGGAAATACTGTTAAGAGAAAATGTCGCTTGTGTGACCTTTTGGGGAGGGGCAATTTGACAATATCAGGAGATTAAATGCTTTGATTCAGCCATTTCACTATAGGGAAAATTTCCAGCAGTTATTTTTGCACCAATATGCAATTATCTACAAAGATGTTTACTGTAGCAACTGTGTGTGTGTGTGTGTGTGTGTGTGTGAAGAAGAAAAGCAAATATAATCTAAGTGCCCATCTATTAAATTGTGGTCTGTTAATACAATGGGATATTATCCATCTTTTAAGAAGAGTACAATAGATGTAAATATGCTGACATAGATATATCTCCAAAACGTCTTGAATTTAGAAAAGGCAGGTTACAAAATTAGCTATACATGTGTGCATATCCATATCTGTGGAGAAAGAGAATGATCCAATTTGTGAAAAAACTGTGTGTGTACACATACATGTGTACAGAAAAGTCCTGGACAGTAAACATTTGTTAATGATTACCCCTGGTGGGTAAGGCAGGGCGGAAAGTTTCTGAACATCTTTACTTTCCATTTTTAGCTTTCCTGTGTTACGCTGTTTGAGTATTTTCCAGTGAGTGTCTGTTATATCTTAACAATTAATTACAAATAAACATTGAGAAGCACTGTGTCTAGTTTAGGAGTAAAAACCAAAGGAGAATATATGACAGCAGCTAAAGCACAAAGAGGGAGGAAGCAAAACAGTTTTATTCACTTGTATTCATTTAAAGTAATATGTTATTTCAAATGAAATTACATTGAAAATATTTCTCAGAAGCTTCTAGTGATTTCCCTGTATATATCATTCAGAAATAATTAGGATTCATTCCCTGAAACTAGATGCTTTATCACCCAAGCAGAACTTGGGTTCCGTTTAGCAAGGAAGAAAAGTTTGTGGGTGTTAGGTACTCAATCACATTGTCTGCTCTACCTGTTTAAGTGATATCTAGTGCCAGCCTAATTCTTGAGTGTCATCTCTTAACCTCCTATACCTCTGCCCTGATCTCTCTTGGTATGCTGAGTAGCCTCCTTGTACTTCCTCAAACATACCAATTTTTTTTTTCTGATCCATGGCCATTTACATTTGTTATTCCCTTTGCCTGGCTATCTTTTCTGTTCTTTAAAAGACATGTGAGCAGTCATGCTTTCCTTTATAGGTCTTATATCAAATTGTCATACCATTAGAGAAGCTATCTGTTCACTGGGACTAAATTAGGTTCTTATTCTCTCTCCAACCTGTAACCTTCTATCTCACACCCTAGGTATTTTCTTCTTAGCATTTATCATACTGTTATTATCTTATGTTCACTTATGTTTCTTCCTGCACTAGAATGTAAGGTCCGCAACAGCATAGGCTGTTTCTTGTTCACCCTTGTATCTTCATTGTCCAGAGCTGTCTAGCGCATAGTAGGTACTCAATAAATATGTGCTGAAAAGAGGAATAGGGAACTAATGAGTAGAAACAAGGGGGAGAAAAAGGAAAGATATAGCATTAAATAAAGACAGAAGAGGATAAAAAGGGAATGGAAATAGGTATATTTTGGTAGGAGCAAAAAGGGTGGATATAACATCGGAAGTAGTCTCATTTTAGCTATTGCTGACTTTAGGGCCTAATCCTGTGCCCAGGTAGAGGGGGCACTTTTTACAAGCCTTGGAACTAAGTTATACTCTTTTCTACTTCCTTATATTGGATAATAAATATAATTCCTTGGAAATTGCTTTGGGTCATAATTAGCCTAGTACTCCCATGGACATAGAACTAGCCAGCTGAAACTCAAAGGAGCAAATTAGTTTTTTCCTGAATAGAAATTACTTTAAGTGGAAGGATATAGATTATGCAGTCCAGAATGCCCAAGGGCGGTCCTTGTGGAAGGATTTATATGGTATTGAGCCTATAAATGCCAGTAAGCCAAAGCAGAAGCTAAAGAGTAACATATGTTTAACTCATGAACTGTATAATACATTTTGTAGAATACATCCCACGTGTGGGCCCAGATCCCAGATGACAAAGATTGTTAAAAGTTGTTCAATTGCAATTTAATTCCTTCCTTGGAAGCATTCCTGATACTTGGGGGAAATTCTAGAGGGATATATATACTCAAAGAAATACTATTCAAATTGCCAGCTTCTGTTTTGGACATTCACCCAGAGACCACTATTCTTATAATACAGTGCTTCTTTATTTCCTTAAGTGGGTTTCCCTCTGAATTCCTTGTAAAGTACTACATGCCACAATAATTTTCTTATCTGCATTTCAGGTGAATAGAGCCATCATATTTTTCTCTTTTAAAAAATTTTTATTGATTTGAGGGAGAGAAAGAAACATCAAAGTTTTGTTTCAGTTATTGATGCATTCATTGGTTGATTTTTGTATGTACCATTACCAGGAATCAAACACACAACCTTGGCATATCAGGGATGATGCTCCAACCAACTGAGCCAGGGCCATATTTTTCTTTTTAAGTGTATGTAAGACTTTTATTGAAGGGAATTTCATAGTGAGGCCACCAAGAATCCTCTTGGTGGGCTATTTTAGGAAGAAGAAAGTCTGCATAAGGATATGATCCCTCCTCTTAAGTATGTGTTAAAGATTTTAAAATTGTTACCATGAATATTAAATATTAAATACACAAAAGTATAGAATTATAGTAAAATCCATATATCCATCACCCAGATCGACAATTATCAAGCTATTGCTACATTTGCTTTATCCATTCCTTCTATTCATTTAGGTATTTGAAACAAAATCTTAGATATTAGATTGTTTCTACTGTACACCTAAATATATATGTCTAAACAGTATCAATATTTGCCTTATATAAACACAACGACATTATCATACCTATCAAAATTAATTGTTACCCTGGCTGCTGTGGCTAAGTGGTTAGAGCATCATCCTGTAGACCAAAAGGTCACAGGTTCAATTTCCACTTAGGACACATGCCTAGGTTGAAAGTTCAGTCCTCAGTTGGAGTGCTTAGGAAAGGCAACTGATTGACATTTCTCTCATGTTGATGTTTCTCCCTTATGGTGATGTTTCTCTCCCTCTCTCTTCCTCTTCCCTCCTCTAAAAATCAATAAGCATGTCCTCAGGTGAGGATAAAAAAAAAAAGTCTACTGATGTTTGGACTCCATCTCAGGCCAGTCAAAATGTAAACTTAAAAAAAATTAATTGGTTGGTATTATCTAATACACAAACCATAATCACATTTCCCTGATGGTCTCAAATATTCTATTTAAGTTGGTTTGTTTTAATCAGGGTTCCAGCAAAGTAACTTACTACATTTGCTTGTCAGGTCCCTTAGGTATCTTTTCATCTAGAGCATTTCCCCTCCCCTGCTTCCTTTGTTTTTCAACATCATTGACTTGTTGCAGACTAATTGGGTCAGGTGTCCTATAAAATGTTCCACATTCTAGACATCTGTTTGCTGCTTTGAGGTGTCACTACCATGCTTCTCTATTCCCCATATTTCCTTTAAGTTAATTCTAGAGCAACACTGCTCAATAGAAGGTTCTGTAATGATGGAAATAATTCTACTTGGACTATCTAGTACAGTAGCCACTGGCCACATGTAGCTATTGAATGAACACTTTAAATTTGCAAGTAAATTTGCAAGTGACTAATGCAAGTAAATTTTAAATTTAATTTAGTTTTAGTTTATTTAAATTTAAATGTTTATAAATGCATACACATATATGTATATGTGTTTATATGCATGTGTATATATATTTTTAATTGTGAGAATCACCTTGTCAGGGAGAGTGGCCTGGGTGGGATATGTAAATCTGTGTACCTATGCTAATCCACACATACAGTAGATGACACTTTAGGTAAAAGGTATTGTGAAGGAAAAAAAGGACCTAGAAACATTGCTTAGGCAGGTAGAGGAGGATGGACAGAGATAGAAAGAAGGGCCAGAGAGTTGGAGGGAAACCCAAAGAGGTCTATGTCCTAGGAGCCAAGCAAGGAGAGTCCAGTTGTATCCAGGAGAGTTCAGTTAAGGCTAGGAAGAGCATAGGATGGGACATGGCATCTCTAGGATGTCTGTGTAACAGTGTCAGTAATATGGCAGGGTGCGCTTGGATTCAAACCTGGCAGCTTCCCTTTAGCTGCGTGGCCTTGAGAAAGGGTATTCTGGCCTCATTCTACAGAGCCTGTCTCTGTAAAATAGAGATAATAACCTCTTCCTCAAAGAGTTATTGTGTGAATAAAATGAATTAACATATGCAATGTGCCTAGCACTTTTCAGGTTCTCAATAAAGGCTGGTTTCTCCCATTATGTCTCCAACCACTTAATTATTCATCTGTTTTGACTGTCACTCTCCTTGATGTCTTCTTGTGTTGGCGTTGGTGGTGACTTACTTGTGAGGGGCAGCACAGGTCTATTCCCATATATCATTGTACTAGTCTGGGTGCCAGCAAACTGTTATGAGCTGACGTATCAGTGCTCTGGATACTGTAGGGAGCCAACCACCCACATGTGTGTAAGCACTCAGAGAACCAAGGACTGGATAAGGATGCAATATATCCTCCTTCATCATTGTCAGTTTTTCCCTTCCAAGGAAAAGAACTCCAACTACCAAATGAATACTTAATTTTTGTCTCAGAACATCTTTCTTCACTTGCATTTTGCAACTGCATAAATCTCCAACACAAAATACTAGTAGTAAATGACTCATCACAGTTATTTTTAAGAGTCAGCATTGGCCCTACCAGATTTTTCCGATTGGATAGAAGCAGCCATTCCCTCTGCCCTTCCTTCCTTTTTATCCGTTAAAAACCGTGAATGGGGAAAGAGAAAAGCAATTTTACCCCACTTATTAAGAGCTCTTGCCCTGCCTGCCACCTCTGGCTATTTTTGCAGTGTAACCCTGGCTTTGGCAACTACAGTAACTACCCATTGGGATATAATGTAATTCATTGCATGTCGTAGGTTAACTGAACTCCAAAAAGGCTGACAATTTCTATTGTGGCTAAAGCAGGATACCTAGCTTTTCAACCTCTTTAAGAATTATCCTTCTATTTCTAAATAGGGCACGTATAATTTCTTATTGACAGTGGCTATGTTTTCCGTACCAAACATGAGGACATAACATTTCATAAGCAGGAGAGTAATACCCTTCGGGACAATCGACTACATTAATTGCAGTTGTTACAGAAATCCCAGGGCTTTCAGGGCTGTGTGTGTGTGGGAGGGGGGCGGGAGGGTCGTACACCTGCTAAAAATGGGTGGCACTTCAATTACAATGGAGCTGTCTAGCATCACATTGTATTTTTACATGGACACTGTAAACATTTGGTGTAAAGGAAACTAGGGTTCTTAGCAACTCGCGATCCGGCTACCGCCTCAGTACCGGGTTGTCTCTTGCTAACGTGGAAAGCCGACATCAGGACCGTGATTTCCCTGCGGAGCACAGGGAACTTGCACGCCTGCGCCGTAGACCTCGCTCGCATTCTTTAGTGGAAGGTTGCGCCTTTGAGTGTCCATGGCAACGCGACGCTTCCGCCTTCTGGAAGCTTTAACTCCAGCTCCACTTGTGAGACCTGTCCGGGTGGGAGGGACCTGGGCACAGGGGAACAGATGGGGGTAGGAGGGGGTTTGGGGCTAGGGAAGCTAGCTGCTTGAAATAGTTGCCCCAGGGACTGAGCTAAACTAAGAAGAATCGGTATAAGGCTCAGCGCAAAAGAATCTTTTCATTCCGGTCCTTTCGCCCACGCAGGGAACGATGCCTCTGGAAGTGGTGGTGGAGCTGCAGATCCGGGCGGTAAGAGAGATCGACGAACTTCCCCTCCCTGCCTCCAAATCAGACTCTGACTCCCTGTTCCTAAACTGCCTCAGGTCGCTTTCACCACTCCCTCCCCCCTCACCACACAGACATCGTTATCTTTTGGAACAAATCGAACCCCTGTCACTAAGATTCTCTACCTAAGCTTCTGGTCTGCCCTGACTCCCTAACCTTTAATTCAGCTCAACTTCTTTCCACTTTTTCCCCCATTAAAGCCTACTTTATCCTGAATTTTTAAAAAAAATAACCCTGCATTAAGTCCAAGAAGGATTTTCTTTTCTTTTCCAGGATAAAATTTGTGAAAGGTTTAAAAAAACAAAACAAAACAAAACGAAACAAAAACCCTCTCCTTTAAATAACCAGGTTAGAATTTAATTTCAAAAAGCCTCATCACTTCCTGGTAATCTCTCATATCCGTGAACCAGTCAAGTATTTCTCAGCTATTTCCCTTAGAGGTGGTTCTGGCTTGCTAATTCCCAAAGGGAAATCAACAACAGTTTTATAATCATCCACTGAATTGCTTAAATGAGATGCTGTGGCAGAGTGAGTCCATTGTTCTTACTTGGGGTCAGTTTTTCATCTTATTTCAGTTTCCATTTTCCAATCCTTCCTTCTCTAGTGACAGACTGTTATGCAGTTTTGCCTCCAAACTGCAGGGGCTTCTCTCCTGGCCACTATTACAGGCCCAGATACCAAACAGATTATGGCTATGGAGTACGGGGTTAGCCTCTATACAAGTGACAACTGCTATGGTTTCATCATACATGCAGCTACAAAATAAAGAGCAGGGTTTCCTGGATTTGTCGGCAAATAAAACCAGGCTACAGCAACTGTACTATATCAATTGTGAGCTCTCAAAGTGTGCAGTAAGGTAAAGGAATTCTTGAGAAGCTGAGTGACAAATCAGGCTTCCTCTTCATCAAGGCAAAAATTAAACAAATTTTCACCTCATTTCATTCCACATTATTGGTTAACTTTATTTTTAAAAGGCATTACTCAGTATACAATTAATTAATGGTGAAAGCAGTTTTCTGCCCTACAGTACTTTGGATGCTCCAAAAGCAGGGTGAATTGACCTGTGCTTTAAAGCCAGCGAACTACGTCCCAGCAGCTAGTTTGCTGGGCATTCCAGAAGTATAAACAGGAACCAGAAAGTAAGCCTGATTTTGAGCCCCCAATATTCGGACTTGTGGACTCTGCCAGAGGAAATGTGATGCTTCCAAATACCTGGCCTGAATATTGCTGCCATTAAAATAAAGGATCTCTCTAAGATGAAACGATAAAGCAAACCACTTACAGTTTCACAGTTTGTCTGATTCAGCAAGTGAAGAGGTAGTCTGTTGAGGATGTAGTGGGAATGCAAATTATTTATTTTGAAGAATAGCTATTCCTCTTTCAATGCACTTCTCACACAGAAAGTTTATGTTTACACCCAATCAGAGCCTACTTGTCACAGCTGTTCTCCAGGTTCCTATGTGTACCTCTATATGACAGGCCAAAGACCATGATCTATTCTATTTATAAATCTCAAAATAATTAGTCATTAAAATTATTTGAAGACACCAGTTCCATAGATAATTTAAAAGTTCGTATTTTCAAGTAAAGCAGCACTTAAAGCATATACCCTTTCATTATTCTTTCCTGGTCAAAGAATAATGAGCAGAGTCCACCCTGCATTTTGTGGTCTTTGGTCTTTTGATTTGGGGAGGCACCACAGATAAACTGCTTTAAATGTAAAGGTTGATGTAAGTGAAAATTTAGGAGTTAGTTGTACCTTGTGCCTGGTGTAGCAGCCAACTGCCCTGATGAATTTCAAATTAAACACTGCTATCTGAAGTGTGCTGTATACAAGGAAACAATTCCATATGAAAAACTGTAATACACAAACTCATCCTTGTGGTATATATGAAAAAGCTTACACTATTGCATTGCAAAGAATCACATTATGTTCCCATTTTATTATCTCAGTAGAGACGATAGGCAGCAACGCCCCATCTTCTGCCATACTTATCCATTGACATAGTATGTAGTTAGCCTACCCCCAACCTCTCAGTTCCTCTGACTCCCTCAGCAGCTTGGCTGTCCTGCATGTCTATTGTCCTACCTTCCCTTTTTTGGAGGGATTATAGACATGCCCACCTTGTTCTCTGAATGCTAAAAGACAATATTAGAGAGCAGTGGGAAATAAATATAAAGATCTTTTGAGGAGTTAGAGGGAAAGGAGAGAAAGATATGTACTATAATATCTCTTCTCACTACCCAGTCTGCAAAGATGGAAGAGACATGAACTAAAAAACCTTACCAAGAAAATCGGGATTAAGAGGAAATCTCGCCAGCTATGGCAACAGAGCTTCAGGGAATAAGCTAGAAAAACCTATGTCTTAGACTCTTAAATAAGAACTAGGCTTAGTATGCAGCTTACCTACATGTATATTTACAGAATGAAGATCATGTTTCTTTTTCAAAATTTAATTTACAAGTGATATGTTGATGTATAGGATCACTACAAAACACATTTTTTCTGACGTCAACTTTTAGAAAACAGCAACATTTATAATCACCCCATCTTGGTTTCTTTGCAGTTTTCCTGCAGAGATAAACAGTTGCTGAATGTATAATAGAGGGAAGGATTTTTTTTTTTTTTTTTTCCACCTGTATTACGGCTGTGATCAGTAATGGCCAGCATGTGTTCCAGCCTAGCAACCCATCAAGATGGTCGGACACCTGAAATCCAAAGGAAGCCTGAAATGTCCTAAGAGGGACAAACGGGATGGCTGCTGATTTATGTCAGCATGATGGCATGATTGCATGTGAAAGCCTTTAGATCTCCTGGTGCCATAATGAATGAGATGGTGTCACTGTTGGTTCCACAGTACAAAGAGCAATGGAGCATTCTGCGGTGAGAGCCAGCAATAGTCCACGATGCTATACTGCATGTAGCCCATTAAAAAGCCAAAAGCCACGTCGGTGACATTGTGTCGCCCCAGCATGACCCTGGAGAGGCCCAAGATGAAGGCCCACAGTACCACCAACACCCTCAGTGGAATGGCCAGAACCAAGTGGTTCAAGATGAATCTCGACACCAAGGCAGCCCTGGTGGCGTGACCAGAGGGGAAGGAGTATTTGTCCACGGAGAGGGTGACAAACATGTCCATCTGGTTGTGGGCTGGGCGACGCCTGCGGACCAGCCCTTTGAGCAGGGCCACCAGCAGCAAGTCCAAAAGCAGGGCAAAGAGTAGGTTCATCAGCACCTCACGCCCGGCCCAGCTGTCGCTCCTGGACAGGCAGTAGAGGGTGCCCAGCAGCCAGGGGATGCCGTGTCCAGAGATCTCCAGCAGCTTCATAAGGGGCCGCACACTGCCCCAGGAGGAACTCTCTCCCGCGCACACCCCCAGCTTCTTGGACAGCCACAGGTCGATGGCCAGCAAAGAGCGCAGGGCGATGCCCAGGAAGGACGGGTTCAGGTCCATGCGGTCCTCCTCAGGCAAGGGGGGCGGTGGCGCCTGAGAGGGGCCGGCTCCTGCGAGCGGGAAGGAGCCGCGGCGGTGCACCGGGCTCTCGGACACGCGGAGCCGGGCGCAGGTGGGGTCCGCACCCGACGCGCGGCTGCCGAGCAGAGACTGGAACTCGAACCTGCTGCTGATGCTGCTTCCGCCGCTGCCGCCATGGGCCGGGCTTCCAGGGCCGCTGCTGCTGGCGCTGCTACTCGAGGCAGAGGCGCCCAGCGGGCGTCCCTCGACGTTCCTCCGGGGACTCGGCATTGAGGCAGGCGGCCCGGAGCCCAGGACCCTGCCGACCTACAGACGGGAGCCTGGCCTTGCAGCCTCTTCCGCTTCCGCACTGCCATCCTGAAGGGGCGGGGAAAGGAAACAGCTTGCGGACAATTGTGACACCTGGCGGAGACGTGGGTTGAAACTGGAATTCCAATTTGAAGAAGGAGAGGAGAGGGGAGGATGATATGGGAGGTGTATGTGAGGGGTTGAGGTCGTGGAGGAAATTTGACATTGTCTAGTTAGGGAAAACAGGTCCCCGTTTTAAAAAAACAAAAACCTGTTCTGTATTCTTTTTTCCCCCTTGTTTTTAAGATTTCTTGTCCAGGGGTGTTCCTGCCTGACAAGCAAGATGTGTACCTTGGGGTTTACCTCCTGAATCAGTACCTGGAGACCGACTGCTTTCCGTCTGTGTTCCCTATTATGATTCAGCAGAGAATGAGATTTAAAAAGGTGATCTTGGCTTTCTCACTGATAAATAGAGAAATTAAAATTTTGCTCTCTGAAGATCGTTTAGTGGTTCTTATAAAGAACACAGTTCTTACCGTTATTTTGTAAACTTCCTTTAAAAAAATTATTTGAAGTCACCTCAGCACAGCGCAGAACCATAGTTGGAAGACTTGCTTTTGTAGCCCAGGTTTGAGCCAAGTTCTGTCAACCTAGTGCTAAAACACCCTGGTGATGATGTTTTCTATTCTTGGAATTCCCGTGACATTTTCTAACTGGAGCAGATAGAGCATTTTCTGAATATCCTTGGAGATGTTAGAGGCAGTTGCATTACATTTATGACAGGGATAATCAATAAACTAGTGGGCCTTAGAAACAAACATTTTTAGACTAAAAAAAATCATGAAAACTATACCCAAATTAGTTAAATTCTGTATCTGAAATCCTATAACAAAACAAGAAATCTCCTCAGACTTACTGAATTTTCTTAGGTTATATCTGGTTTATTTATGATCATGACATAGTCAAAACATTACCAACTTTCTTCCCATTATAAAATATTAACTTTATTACTGCACAATCACAATCCTTTGAATTTTTTTTTTTAATTTGGAGGTGGAATAAATCTGATTCCTTGAACCGTGATATGTCTGATGATTTTGCCCCAAACAACATCACTGAGGTAGTTCTTTGCAGGGAGAGAAGGAGTATAAGAAGGCTATAGGGAGAGCCTATCACTTTTAAAGGTGTGGATGAAGGTGCCAGAAAATGACCCGTTTTGACCTGAGAATGGCAGAAGAGGTGAGGATGGATTGTCTACAGGGCTAGAGCCATATATTTTTATAAACTACATGGTTAATTTAAATAAAATCTACCAAACTGGTTGGGTGAGAGAGAAGAGGAACAAATGGATATTACCTTGGGACATACAGTTAGAATCCAAAGGAGCCTACTTCTACCATTTAGATGTTAGTAGTGGTAAAAAGTGGTTGGTAGAAATCTGTTCTATTTTTCCCCACAAGAATGTCCTTATTTTTATCAATTTTCAGTTTGCTTCTGTAGAAGATTTAAAAAGTCTTTTTTGTAAGAAGCCCCCAAAAAACAAAATCATAGAAGCACAGAATAATGAATTTGTAAATGACCTTGGAGATCACCTAGTCCAACCTCCTTGACTTGTAGAAGAGAAGAGTGAGCCTGAGTCACATTCAGATGCCATACTACTCTGTTGTAAAACTGTACATATTAGATTACTAGTCAAACAACCCATGGACTACATTTCATTTCAAAAAATGCAATTACATAAATGCTTTATTTTAAATATTTTATTTTATTTTGATTTAGGGAGAGGGGAAGGGAGGGAGAAACGGAGGGAGAGAAACATTGATCTGCTGCTTCTCACATACCCCCAACCAGGGATCTGGCCTGCAACCCAGGCATATGCCCTGCCTGGGAATTGAACCAGACACCTTTTGGTTCACAGGCTGGTGCTCAGTCCACTGAGCTACCAGCCAGGCCTTGCTTATTTATTTTTAAATGCTTTATTTTAAATTTTGAAAATTTCCCTCTTGTGTGAGCTCTTTGGGTTTGTATTCCAGATTCCTGTTTGCTCCAGTTTTGGTTGCATCTGTTCCATTCTCTTGCTGTAAGTATTTGTTGTATCTGCCCCATTCTCTAAATGCAAATACTTGCAGCAAGTAGCAAAAACCTTTTTTCTCCTTGTATTTTCTGTATAATTCAGAATTGAATATTCTAAAACATTTGGATAAACAAGAAATTACTCCTAAAGAATGTATGAACTATTGTGTTTGAGCAGTTCATGTTAGACATTTACTACCTAAGATCACACTTGAGAAAATCCTTAGCTATGGATGAAGTGAAGGGATGTAGTTACTGAAATAAATTAGGAAAACAAAAATCACCCACATTTGCTTGATAAATCGAAGTCAGTAAGAAAAAAAAATATGGGGGACAGCCTCATTTTTGTAGTTAAAATAGACCTGGCTTTGGATTAAGAGCAGATTTTAAACATGCTTAAGTTTAAACACTATTTAAATCAGAACTTAGTGCCTGAAATCAAACTCCACTGAAAACTTTTTGGTTTATTTTCACAGGGTTCTAGAGTTCAGGGAGAGGGCTGTGGTATGCCTTTTATTTCAGTCCTATCCCAGGCCCTTTTTTTCTCAAGGACAAAATACGCAGATTTGGCAGTGGCTAGACAGGTATCACACTGTTTTTCTTGTGCTTCATCATACACTTAAAACTTAATGAGTCCTTCGTCTCTCTAGTTATTTAATTTTGTGACAGTGTGCCTACTAGCACTTAATTTTTTTTGTGTATGTTAAACACAGAATTTTTTGAAGATTTTTTCAGTAACATTTATTTTTTAAAAGTTAACAAGTGCATATGATAGGAAACTGAAAAACACAAGAAGCAAAGAACAAAGTCATCCATAACCAGAAGCAGTTCACAGTTTGACATGTCCTGAATCCTGTGTGTATCTACACAACTAAGCTTCCATTTTTGTGTACATAAGATGGTAAAGTTATGAATCGTGCTTTTTCACACATCACAAATATTTACCATTTCAATGTATCAAAACTATATGAGTATTCTGATAACCAAGAATACACTACACCAACTCAATCTGGAAGAAAAAAATGTGATCCTGCCTTTCTTGGCAACAAAAATTTCGTAGAATTTTTTAAAGAAGATTTTATTTATTTATTTTTAGAGAAGAGTAGGGGAGGAGAAAGAGACGGAAAGAAACATCAATGTGGGTTGCATTTCAGGCGCCTGCTGCTTGGGACCTGGCCTTTAATCCAGGCTTGTGCTCTACACTGGAAGTCAAACCAGTGATCCTTTGGTTTGCAGGCCAGTGCTCAGTCCACTGAGCCACACCAGCTAGGGCTAGAACTTTTATTTATGTTTCTTTTTAGCACAACCAATTACTTGGCAAGAGAAGTCATTCATTCAGTTAACATTTTATGAATATCTGTGATATGCAGCATGTGTTTTTTTTAGGTACTTGAGACTTTTTAAAATTATTGATTTTTAGAGAGAGAGAGAGAGGAAGAGGGGAGATAGAGAAAGAAAAACATTGATTTGTTGTTCTACTTAGTTATGCATTCATTGGTTGAGTTTTGATTCTTGTATGTGCTCTGACCAGGGATCAAACCAATAACCTTGGTGTATTGCGACAACACTCTAACAAACTGAGCTATCTGGCCAAGGCATGGTACTCAAGACTCTTTGAGGTTGATGCCAGACATGCTTTTAGCAATAAACTTTAGGGCTAGGTCAAGTTGATGACATTCTGAGGATGTGGTAAATTAAGCTAACTTAGATTTTCCTTGTACTTGGTATTGTTTTGCTAATTCTCATTCATTTATTTTATAGTCATTTGTTGAATTTTTAACCACATATCTGTTAAAGATATTTCTGTTGAATCCTAAAATATTATATGGCTGGATTTGATATGTGTTAATTATTCAGAGGAATGTAATCTATAATTTCTATAAGTATATATTAAGAAAACTTGGAAAATTTATTTTCCTCATTTTTTCTGCAGTTATTTGAAAATGCAATAGATCCTGGAGCTGTAGCAGACATTTTAGAAAGTAGGTACGAGAGGGCAGCGGTGGGGCGGGGGGCAGGCCGGGGAGGCTATTGTGTGTCTGTAATTCACAGATAAAAAATTCTACTATTTTTAAAGTTGTGATACATGTTTGATCTGTATTTATATTCAAGAAAGTCTGTAAATTTTGAATCATGTTTTTGATTTGATTACACTCTCCTAGGTATAGATGGAATATACTAGAAAATACAATTCTGTTTGTATATTTATTGTTTTACAGTTAAATGGTTTTTATTTATTCACAGAGTTGTGTGGCCATCACCATATCAATTTTAGGATGTTTTCATTACTATGGAAAGAAACCCTATGTTTATTCTTCCTCCTCTCACCCAGCCCTAGGCAACTACTAACTAATCTCTCTGTCTCTAGATTTCCTTATTCTGGATATTTCACATAAATGGAATTATATAAAATGTGATCCTTTGCGACTGGTTTCTTTTATTTAGCATAACATTTTCAAGATAACGGGTGTTAGTACTTCAGTTCTTTTTATGACCAAATAATGTTCCATTGTAGGGATATGTCACATATTGTTTATCCATTCATCTGTTGATGGACATTTGGGTTGTTTTCATTTTGGGGCTATAATGAATAATGCTGCTATGAATGTTTGTGTTCAAGTTGTTTTCTGGAAGTGCATTTTCATTTCTCTTGAGTATATAGCTAGAAGTGGAATTGCTGGATCATATGGTAACTCTGTTTAATCTTTTGAGGAACTTCCAGACTGTTTACCAAAGCAATGAATCATTTTACATTCCACCAGCAATGTGTGAGGCTTCCATTTTCTCCACATGCTGGCCAACATTTGTTATTATCTGTCCTTTTGATTGGTAGCCATCCTTGTGGGTATGAAATGGAATCTCATCGTGGTTTTGAATTTGTACTTCCCTGATAACTAATGATGTTAAGTATTTTTTCTTGTGCTTATTGGCGATGTGTGTATCTTATTTGGAGAAATATATATTCAGACACTTTGCCCATGTTTTAATGGGCTGTCTTTTTATTATTGAGCTGTAAGTTCTTTATATATCATAGATACAGGTCCCATATCACATGTATGATTGAGAAATATTTTCTTCCATTCTTTTCACTTTCTTGATGGTGTTTTTTGAAACAGAGGTTTTTAATTTTGATGAATTCTTTTTATCTATTTTTCTTATTTGTGCTTTTAATGTTGTAACTAAGAAACCATTGTCTAAGTCAAGTCACAAAGATTTAGTATAGACTAAATCTTCTTTAGTTTCTTCTAAGAGTTTTATAGTTTTAGGTCTTACATTTAGGTCTATGATACATATTGAGTTTATTTTTGTAAATTGTATGAGGAAGGGGTCCAACTTCATTTTTTTGCATCTGGGTATGCAGTTGTCTCGGCACTATTTATTAATCAGATTATTGAATTTTTTCATCCATTGAATAGTCCTTTGTTGAATTTCAACCTTTGTTGAAAATGAATAACTATAAATGTAAGGGTTTATTTTGGGGCTCTCATTTCTGTCTCATTGAACCATATTCTGATCGTTATGCCAAAACCACACATTCTTGATCATTGTAGCTTTGTAGTAAGCTTTGAAATCAGGACACGTGAATCTTGAAATTTGGTTCTTTTTTAAGATTGTTTTTGCTGTTTGCGTTTTCATGGTTTTCCACTTTAGGACCAGCTTGTCAACTTCTAAGAAGCCAGCTAGGATGTCGATGGGGATTGCATTGAACCTATAGGTCAGTTTGAGGAATATTACCATCTTAACTATATTAAATCTTCTAATCTATGAACATGGGATGTGGTGAGAATTAATTGACTGGAATGAATTTAGAGCCTGAGGCAAATTAAGTGTTTAACATTACTGTTGGGGTGATGGTTGGTAAGGATGTATTCCCTCCTCCCACTTGGGAAACCTCAATTATAGGCTGTGTTGGCTTTTAAGATTTTTTGGCATTTAAAATTCTATTCTTATGCATTCATATGTTTCTCATTAGTTTACAGAGAGAGAATTTTACTTTTATTTTGCCTTTTTCTAGCTTTTTTGTGATGTAATTGACATATAACATTGTGTAAGTTTAACCTGTACAACATGTTGATTTGATTCAGTTATATACTGCAAAGTAATTACCATTATCGTGTTAGCCAACACGTCTAACCCATCATATAATTTATCATTTCTTTTTTTTGATCTTGGCAACTTTAAAGTACAACTGATCCTTGAATAATACCATGGTTAGGGGTATCAGTACCCTATGGAGTGGAAAATCCAAGTGTAACTTTTGACTCAGCCCTTTGCATCTGAAGATTCAACCAAATGTGGATGGAAGACAATGTTTTCAATATGTGATTGCAGTTGGGAATGCAAAAATGCTGTTTTTCATCCATGGTTGGTTGAATCCATGGATGTGAAACCCCTAGATATAAAAGGCTGACTGTATTTATTGGAAAAAATCCACCTGTCAGTGGATTTGTGCAGTTCAAACCAATTTTATTCAAGGGCCAACTGTATATAACACAGTGTTATTAACCATAATTACTACTGTGTATTTTAAGTGTTTTCACTTTTAATATTTTGTGGGAATTATATTTACTGATTTTTTATTGTTACACCATTTATGTTTTAAATTACTTTTAAGATTTGAATTTTATTCTTGTCCTTGTAACCATTGTACATGGGCTCACTATTTCTAAATATATTTTGAACTCAGGAAATATAAAAAATGTTACTCTTATGTCTCACTTACATAGTCATATAGCATACCATTTTAAGTGAGGTAAACTTTTATAAGTTAATGGACAATGTTTGTATTTTGAATTTTTAAAATGGAAAGCCTATTGTTATTTGTGATTTATGAGTATATTCTTAAGAGAAAATATTGCATTTGTTTTGTCAGTGCTTTTCAGAGAGTGAAATGCTGCTTTTATAACTCACTTACTGTCACTCCATGCCCTCAATTTATTGGGTCTAGAAATACCTGAGTCATTGTTATGGCACTTATTATTACTGAAGTAATTATTATTACATTATTATTATTTTAATTCCCATTTAATTCCACTACTGAGAATGCAAAAATGTTTGGAGCCCCTAACCATGGTGTTGTTCAAATTAAATGGGATGTTATAGCATTTTTTAAACATAGCAATTAATGAAAAACTCTGGCAATTTCCTTAAGTATTAAAGTCTCATTTTTTTCTTTTTTTAGGCTTCCTAACCAGGTTTGAATTAATACAGCTAGTGCCTCCAGGTAATGTGCCAGTATATGCATTTCTAAATTGGCTTTATTTAAATTTAAAGGGATTTTGGCATGACAAAGTGAGGACTGGTATTTAAAAGTCGTACTTTATATAATACTATTTTTTCCCCCACTAGTCTGTTTAATTTTGTCCACTTTCAGAAGAGTAACTCTCTGTATTTGGTGGTTATTTGACTTTACTGGCTCAGCTTCTTTCAGGTTTTTGCCTGTGGCTGTATTCTTATTTGTGGAGTGTGTGTGTATAAAGCCCAAAGCCATCTTCTCTGCTAAGTGCTAGAACAGGGCTGACAAATTCTAACTCCCAAGCTAAATCCAGTCTCACTGTTTTTGAGCTAAATCTCTACACTTTTAAAAATTTGCGATTTAATGTATATACTATAAAATTTATCATTTTAAAGTATACAATTCACTTGTTTTAGTATGTTTACAAGGTAGTGCAACCATGACCACCGTCTTGATTCCAGACTATTTTTATTAACTGGAAAGAGACTCCATACTCATTAGTAGTCACTCATCATTCTTTCCTCCCCACAGCTCCTGGCCACCGTTAATCTTTCTGTCCCTATTGATTTGCCTATTCTGGATAGTTCATACAATGGAATCAAATAATGTATGGCCTTTTATGTCTAGCGTCTTTCAGTTATCATGTGTCAAATTTCATCCATGTTATAGCATGTGTCGGTACTTCATTCCTTTTTATGGTCAAATATTCTTTTATATGAATATACCATATATATCAATACTATTCTTTTATATGGGTAAGTTTGCTTATCCATTCTTCAGTTGGTGGGCGTTGGGTTGTTCCCACTTTTTGAATATTCTAAATAATATTGCTATCAACATTCATGTACAAGCTGTTGGATAAGTACATGTTTTCAGTTCTCTTAGATGTATACCTTGGAGTGGAATTGTTTGGTAACTCTACGTTTAACTTTTTAAGGAGCTGCCAAGCTGTCTTCAGTTCTTACATTTATAAATGGTTGGAAAGAAACTTAAAATACAAATATGTAGTGATGTGAAAATTATATGAAATTCAAATTTCATTGTTCATAAAGTTATATTGAACGTAACCACATTCATTCATTTAATTATTGTTTATGGCTGCTTTCATGCTGCAGTGACAGAGTTGAGTAATTGTGACCATACTCAAAGCCTAAAAATATTTACTGTCTGGCCCTTCACAGAAAATGTTTGTGACTCGTATGTTGGAATAATAGGACTTTGGGGAAAAGCGTCCTGTGCTGCTTTTGCTTAGTCGTTTGTCTTGAATGGCTGGAGGCCTGAGCTAGTGAGAAAGTGGGAACTGCCACCTGGTGGCACCAATTCTTATACATAGTCTCTCAAAGCATTGGGTTGGCCAAAAAGGCTGCTACATTTTTTTCTGTAGAATAAAGGACACATTTTTCATTTTCATCAACAACTATTGATTGGGAGATTTTGAGTGTGTCAGCTGTCTCCCACTATTGGCTTGTACTGGGTAGGCCCAGAGGTGCTGCTAAACATCTTCCAATGCATAAGACAATCCCACAGCAAAGAATCACTTGGCCACAATGTCAATAATACGAGAAACTTCGCAAACCACTTTCAACACGTTTGATTAGTCACAGCACCTTCTCCATACACTGCACAAATCTTTTTTTTTGCATTTCAGTTTCATTTTTAACTTTTCTTGAAATTTAATAAAGCCTAATACACCAAAATGTTGCATATTTTCTATCTTCATATTAAAATGGCTGCACAAAAATTCACCAATTTTGGTAAGGTTTTTTCAATACATGCTGATATAACAGCTGTCAAATGCAATCTTAACAAAATTGTTTCGAATGAAGTTAAAGACAACTAAGCACTTCTAGAGCCATTGTATGGAAAAAAACTTAATGGACTTTTTGGCCAAACTCAATAGTTTTCTGGTGATTTTAGAGTGGCATATGGACATGTGTGCATGTGTATGTGTGTGTGAGAAAGAGAGAGAATATACCTAAATTCAGAAACATTTCTAATTCTCTTCAGATCTTTGCTATTATACTTTTTTACCCTTTCCCTTCACCCAAATGAATCTTCATAGTTTTACCTTGTCATAAAAAGCATGCCCAAATGAGAAGAAAACTTTTATTTATATTTTGGTGAACATGTTTCTTAATGTTCTCCTGTGGACAGAAGAAAACAAGTATGGAATTTTTACATAGTATCACATACATTTTCTCCTTTTATTAGCTTCTCCCATTCATGTTGTCTTTTTTAAAATCATAGTTCTACATCATTATTTTAAATAACTATAAAGAGTTTCATTAATGTACTTACATGCTTTTATAGGTTTATAAACAGTATGTACATATTATTTTGGGTTTTGTTTTTTCATTCTATATCGTTACCTGTTGTTTATTTGTTTCTCATTTTCAATAGCTATATATTTTTCTGTAGTGAATTATCCTTAAATTGGTACAGTTGAACATTTAGGTTTTTTGCATTTCACATTTTTCTAAAAATTATTTTTTCCTCTTGATATATTTGCAAAGAATAGACTTATTAGATTGAGCCATGTTTTGTAACCTAGGAGTAAACTGATCCCCAGCAAGTTTCCACTAGTTCACTGGCAGATGCCTCAGCTAAGGCAGCGGTAACTGTGGAGGCTTTTGTGAGGACTCTCACTCTGCCTGCTGTGGCTGTCCCTGGAGCAGGTCAAGGCCCCCGGTGGAGTGGACCCAGGAGTCTGTAGTTCTGTCTTCTGCCTCTTGCCTCGTTGGCAGAAGCAGGCTCTAAAAACAGATAAGAACCCCACTCTCCACAGATCTAAGGATAGATACTCTTCTACATGTCATTACTTTCTTAGATTGGCGTAACAAGAGGGAAGAAGAGAGATGTCCCCATCCACTTTTCAGAAATGCTTACTGACTGTTTCTCAGCCTGAAAGTGACAGGCTAAAATCAGGGTATTGAGGGGTTTTTTTTTCCCCTGTAAGTTTTTCTCTTATTTGACGCACTTTCATGTTTAAACATAAAGCACTGCTAACTGACAAGTTATATTTTAGTATGCTGGTAAAATAGATACAGACCATTTTAATCTCATTTAATTTTACATGAACTAAAAATTTACCAATACCTAAGTATTCTCACTATAAAATTTTTAATTAACACAAATTTTATAAAGTAAAAAGCCAAAAGCCATACTCATCAACTCCTGACAGTAATTACTTAACAATTTGTGTATATTTTTAGACCTTATAAGATGTATTTAATATAAATATAATGCATTTAATATATTCAATCAGCCCTAAAATAGTACATATATACACATATATGCATATATACTAAATATATCTAATATTTATTATATGTATATTTAGTATTATATTTTAGCTGAATGTATATATTCTGCAACTTGCTTTTCAAAATTTAATATATCCTACACTGCCATATGTTTTTCACATGACCAGAAATCCATCTACAAGAAGGCTGCAAGAACTGTCTGAAACTATGATGATTAGAGAATATTGAAGCTGGGTGTGTACATACTGGTTATAACTGAAAAGTTAATCAGATACACAATGGAGGCTTTATTATATACCTTTTTTGGATCTACATTCCTTTAATTTCAGAGTGCAATTAAATTTGAATTGCTTAAAATAACAATTAATTGCACTCAGTTTCAGATGCATTACAGACTGATTCATGGTCCAACATACGTTTGTTGAGGGTATATAGGCCCTGCACTGTGCCACTGTATCACGCTGGTGGCACTAGCTAGTCAGAGTGGCAGTGGTAAAACCTCTTGGTCTGTTAGTCCTTGAAACTCGATAATTAAATAAATGTGATTTACTTGAAGCCTCCTGTAGACTGCATCACATGGCAACATGGGCCACATTTGGGTTTACAGGGACCAATTCTTCATTGGCCGAATTGTTCTCTCTTCATTTTGCTGTATATATTACTTTACTGTTTCATACGTTTTCACATTGCTTTCAAAAACACTTAGTATCATCAAAGACATGATAATTAAGTTAATGATACAGGTACCTCAGATTTGCATACAGTTTTGCAGGTAAAGAAAGAAAAGGTCCAATGGTTTATCTTAGAAGCAATAGACTTGTCCACAGTTCTTCAGTTTACAAAGCTGGGAAAAAGCAAATGAACACAGGGGGGCAGCATAACCCTGGCTGACAGTGAGCTCTGTGCTTTCTTTTATTGACTTAAATGAAACCCCTGCTTTGATGTGTCATGTATAGCCAGTCCAGCTGTAAAATGCTGTTTTGGTTGGCACCCGTTCCCTGATTCAGAGCTTGATTTTATACTTTGTCAGGATGTTTACTAGGCATCAGCAGGAAAGAACTTTTGCTTCAGACATTCTGGTTTTGATTTCTGCTTTGCCATGTGGCATCATGACAAGTGTCTTCAACTCTCAGATCCTCAGTTTCCTTATCTGCAAAGAGGGAATCAAATGAGATACCATATTGGGAAACAAGCTGTCAGTTCTGATATGCTCTATAAATGCGATATTTTTCTAACCATTATAGTTATTAAAATTATTTCTCTTCAAGTCTCATTTATTTCCTTTCTGGGGAGTACCTGTTATTGATGGTATTGGTGATGTCCCTGTCCATGCCATTAGCCTATTAAGAGCATGGAGTTTTTCAGACATTTCACTTTCTCTATGAGACTTGCTCAGCCCGTGTATATGTTCATTATTATTTACAACCTAGGCTCTTGCTTTAACATCCCTTTGGTGTGCTGACATTTTCACACTGGGTGGCACTTTGGGTCTCTAGAAAATGACCAAACCAGAGAGACAGAGAGACCAAACCACAGACAGAGAGACAATTGAGAAGCTTTGCAGCCTTCTCTTTCTCTAATGTTCTTTGTCTGTTTTTATCCCTGTGATTTCAAAGATAGTAGATGAGCTCACCTCCAGTTCTCTGGCAACTTATTTGCATCTTAATTCTTGCTACATACAAGAATAGTAATTTAGTAGCTATCATTTTGGATGCAGCGACAAGAACTAGTCAGAAACATGTGAAAAGGAAAATGGAAAATTTCAATGTGTAAAGCATCATACCATGCATCAAAGTGTTTGTTCCCACTAGGAACATAGTACTGAAAACACAGTATTCATAGACACCAGAGTAGTGCTAGGACCGCTGCTTGGCTGGTGTCATGGAGCAATCATGACAGTGGCAGGTAATGTCAGGCACTGTGCTCTGCACTTCACATGTGTTCGTCATTTGCCCTCACAGGAGCTCTAAGAGGCAGGTACTGTTACGAGTTTTGCATTTTTCTGAAGAGGAAACTAAAGTTAAAGAGTTTACATAATCTGCTCACAGTCACATAGCTGGCAGTTGGTGAAGCAAAGATTTGAACCCAGCTCTGTCTGAACCTAGAAACTGAGTTTTTACCCAGCATACTGTAGGCTTCAGTAGAAAGTTGTATTTTGTTGTTAGAGATGGGTGAGGAAATTGTCACATCACTTCCCATTTTCAAGTTGCACTTCTGAGATCACTAAGTGGAGGAAGTCTCTTTGGCCAACAAAAGTGGGGAGATCATGCCCACTGTGGAGCGTACGGAAGAGGCTCCATCTGGTGTTTTTATAACATCACAGTGTGTGGAGACTGGATTTGAGTGCAGAAAGAGTGGAAGCAGGGTGGCCAGCTAGGAGGTCATGAGAGTAGTCCGGGAGAGAGGTGGTGGGGGCTTGGACCAGCGTGGTCGCTATAAAAATGGAGAAAAGGGGACAGCTTTATGTTTATTTTGGAGATAGAGGCAACAGGACTTGCTAATGGATTTATGGAAGGAATGAAAGAGTAGAATCAAGGATAAATCCTAGATGTTTGGCGTGAGCAGCTGGTACTGGTTCCTCTGATAGGAGGATAAGGAAGAGCTCATTTGTGGGGGAAAAAATCAAGAGCTCTATTTTGGACCTGTTATGTTGGATATGCTATAAGACATTTAAGGTGAAACTTGGATGATGAGTAGGATCTCAACAGGATGGGAAGGAAGAAAAGACATTTTTGAAGGAATAGCCTAAGCTGAGCAAGTGCATAGCAGAGGAGGGAAGGATACATTATTAATTTATTGTGGCTGGAGCATATCGGAGAGAGGAAGAGTGGAAGGAAATGATACTATGATGAAAAATACAGGATACATTTTTTTGCACTTTTATCCTTACTCAGTAAGTGGAATAAGTAGGAAGAAATTGATCCATTTTATTGTTTGATAAAAGGTCGATTATTTCTACACTTGATGTACCAAAAAATAGCCTCATCAGAATTCTCATCACAAGTAAAATGGCAGTCACCAGATGGTAATGTTACGTCATTGATTATGTTACTATTTTGACAGTGCTGTGTATAGTGGCTACTCTCAGTCCAAACCACTTGTGTAGTAACGACTGCATAGACGAGGGCTCAGATGGTAGTTTCACTCTCCTTTAGCTCAGTGATTCTTAATCCTATCAGACCCAAGGTTTTCTTTTGTTAATACTTTGTAGCATCCCTTTTACCACACTGAAATAATATTCACTGTTAATAGAATGAACTTACACAAACTGCAGTATTTGAACTGTAATATAAAGGAGAAATATAAGGAAAGGAAATTTTAAAATAAAATGATAAGTATATCAGCATGTAACTTGTTGAGCATAGTGAAGTATTTAGATGTGACATGATTTTCAAAATGCCAAAAAGATCTCAGTAAAGAGCCAAACAGCAGCGTACAATTTTTCTTTAGTTTACATGGTACTTGCATTCCTGAAAATCTATTGTATTTTAAAATTATGCAAAAAAGTGAGTTGTATTTATATCTATCAGTTAGGTTCATAAAATGGTTTCTTGCCTGAAAAAATGTCTGGTAAGAAGTTAGAAAGTTGTGCAGGAGTGTTTTGAGCATTGCAGGTCATTTGGCTCCTGCCAATGAAATGTCCCCACATATTTCAGAAATGCCCTTGGGGTTAAAACCAGGCTTGCTAAGAACTCCACCTCTAGCTGTTCTCTGGGCCTTTGGGATATTTGCATCCCTACATCACAGAACACACTGAACCCCAGCCTGCACTGTGACTTTTGCATGAAAAGGGCATTGTCTCTGTTGTTCCTGTTCTATCTGTAAGACCTTGCCCATGGTATGTCCTAAGAAAACATTTGTTGAAGGAAAGAATGGATGGATGGATGGATGGATGGATGGATGGACAAAGAGATTTTCCTCTTTGTTCTGTTTTGTAGAGCAACCCTTTAGATAATGTTTTATCCCTGTTATTACTTGGCGAGGCTTTTAAAAATTACCCATGAGATAAAAAGTAGTAGTCATTTGCCTCTTGACTAATAGGTACTGCAATCAAAATGTCTATTTTTATCTGTGTGCAATCTCTGCCTCACTGCCATCACCTGTTTAAGCTTTTATTTTATTAAACTTGGTGTATAGATACATTATTTTTAGAACATAAATATCCTTGTGCTTTTTCTTCTTTCTTCTAGAGTGGGAAGAGTTGGCCTACTATGAAGAAAACACACGGGAATTTCTCTTCCCTGAGCCCAGGCTGACACCTTCGAACCCTGGGATGAGTAGGGAGGTGCTCATGAAAACAGCTGCAGGTTTTCCAGTAAGTCATCTGGGCTCTGCTGGGCTTCTGTTGCAAGAGAAATTCCTGGGACCTGAACATTTTGTTCCTGATAGGACTTGCTCTTAGGCTGATCACTTCATCTTGGTCAGTACCCCTGTTATTCTGTTTTGCAGTCTTGTTTAGATGCCCCACTCAGAAAACCAAATTATACTGACTCCCACTATTGATCTGAGAGGTGGGAGTTGTACTTAATCTGGCTAAATCATACTCAAACTGTCACATAATTATAAAAAGAATGATTTTACTCCCTTTTAATGCAGATTAACTGAAAGATTTGGTATCAGTTTTTTTAATTGTAGCTATTGTTTTAGAAATAATAAGAGTAAAATAGGGCAGTAATAGTAATGATGCTACTTCTCATTTATTTTGCACTTTGGTTTTTCATATAATATCTTATTTTCCTCATAACAGTTCTCAAATCAGCCAAGGCAGATATTATGGTTCCCATTTAATGGAGGGGCGACTGACAGAGATCCACAGACTGATACTAATGAGGGGTCTTAAAATACAGGGCACTTATTCATTTGATAATCTTTCTGTTTATTTTTTAATTGAGTTGATTGGGGTCACACTGCTTAATAAAATTATGTAAGTTTCAGGTATTCAGTTAATAAGCTAACTGCTGGGGGCATTAACTGAACCTGAATTAAAAAATATTCATTTTGATGTTATCTGTGATGATTTCTAACTCTGCAGCAACTCTGTTCATTTTCTTGACATTTATGTCACTTGGATGACCTCCATTTTAAGGGCCACATCTTTGTAAACTATAAGAAGCATATTTATTTATTTTTAAAGATTTTATTTATTTATTTTTAGAGAGAGGGGAAGGGAGGGAGAAAGATAAGGAGAGAAACACCAATGTGCGAAAGATACATCCATCGGTTGCTTCTCACACACCCCCGGCTGGGGACCTAGCCCCCAACCCAGGCATATGCCCTGACTGGGAATTGCACTGGCAACCTTTTGGTTCACAGGCCAGCACTCAATCTACTGAGCCACACCAGCCAGGGCAAGAAGTATATTTAATACTCAACCTGCTATCTTCTCTATTTTGTTGAGAGTACTGTACAGAATAGATAACATGAGGGACCCCTGTTTCTGTGACATTTATGATGACAGAACTTCTAGTTCTAATACTTCAAACAGTAAAATTCACCATAAGTTGTCCTAATGAAAATTCCTAATGACCATAGCTTTAAGCTCTCCGTTATCTTGGAGGGCTCAGTGAATATCACTGACACCATTTTTTCCCCCTCAGAGATATTCTTTGTGTATCACTTATATCCATGGTATTGTGAGATGCTTGCATTTATTATTTTGAGTTATTTGGATATTGCTCTTCAGAACCAAAAAAGGAGTAAAAACTGGTGAGAATCAGGTGGGGAATCCGTGTTATATTAACTTTGGTTTGCCTGAGTTGTCTAGTAAATAAAAGCCATCTATCAACATTGGGCTGGTATCCAGCTAAGTATTAAGACAAGGAGAAACACAGCCTCTTACATTTTTCCAAATGTTATCCTTGTTTAACTTTATGAGCATATGTAGCAAGAAGAACCTATAGGAAATTGTATTTATAGTTATTCATAAATACAGGTCATCATTTAAGAAAGAGCTTTAAAACTGTGGAGAAAGATCCTCATGCATTAAAGTATCAATTCTTACAATGAAGTTAATAAAACTGTATTTTAAATGATCTGGAAAAAGATAGGGGAGCCCAGTTTCTTTCAAATATTCTATGAAATGAAATAAAACCACTTGCTGAATTTTTAACAATAGCTGGCATTCATTGTGTGCTCATTAGATACCAGGCGCTGTGCTGAGCTTGTTACATGGATTATCTTGTCAATTCTCCTTAACCCTGCAAGGTGGCTACTATTTTTCCCCCTCATTTTATGGATGGATAAGCTGGCATAGGGAATTCAAGAAATGTCTTCACGAGTCCCAGCGCAGGTGAGCCGTGGAGCAAGGATTCTCATGCTGGCCTGTTGGACTTCTACGCTTAGTCACTCACTGCCTGATGTTATTCTCTCATGTTTATTTTAGGCCAGTGTCACATTTATTTTTTATTAATATTGTATGACATAAGAATAAATTACATGTACAGGTCAGGCAAATTATTCACTTCATTTATTTTCTCTTAATTTATTAATTTTTTGAGAATTAGATATATTTCCTCCACTCAGATGTGGCTTTTTCTTTGAATTTCCATATCGTTTTATTTTATTCACTTGATGTTCTAACAGCCTCCCTCCTTGCTTTCCTTTTACTGCTGAGGTCAAAATTTAAAAAAGAAAAATCTGTTTTCTTTTTTAAAAAATATACATTTTATTGATTATGCTATTAAAATTGTCCCATTCTTTTTCTCCTCTGTATTCCCCTCTGCCCTTCACCCCCCATCCCACCAACATTCCTCCCCCACCACCTTAGTTCATGTCCATGGGTCATACATATAAGTTCTTTGGCTTCTCCATTTCCTATACTATTCTTAACCTCCCCCTGCCTATTTTGTACCTACTGTTTATGCTTCTTGTTCACTGTGCCTTTTCCTCCATTCATTCTCTTCCCTCTCCCTTATGATTTACATTTCTGTGATTCTGTTCCTTTTCTAGTTGTTTGCTTAGTTTGTTTTTGTTTTTTGTTTTTTTTTAGGTTCACTTGTTGATAGTTGTGAATTTGTTCATAGTTTCTGATCTTCATCTTTTTCTTAGTAAGTCCCTTTAATATTTCATATAATAAGGGCTTGGTGATGTGATGAACTCTAACTTTACCTTATCTAGGAAGCACTCTATCTGCCCTTCCATTCTAAATGATAGCTTTGCTGGATAGAGTAACCTTGGATGTAGGTCCTTGTCTTTCATGACTTCAAATATTTCTTTCAGCCCCTTCTTGCCTGCCCTCACAAGCTGGTTCTTTTGAGAATCAGCTGATAGTCTTATGGGAATTTGTTTGTAGGTAATTGTCTCCTTTTCTCTTGCTGTTTTTAAGATTCTCCCCTTATTTAATTTTGGGTAATGTAATTATGATGTGTTTTGGTGTGTGCTTCCTTGGGTCCAATGTCTTTGAGACTCTCTGATCTTCCTGGATCTCCTGAAAGTCTACTTCCTTGGTCAGATTGGGGAAGTTCTCCTACATTATTTTTTCAAATAAGTTTTCGATTGCTTTCTCTTCCTCTTCTCCCTCTGGCACCCCTGTGAGTTGGATGTTGGAATGTTTAAAGTTGTCCCAGAGGTTCCTAAACCTCTCCTCATTTTTTTGAATTCTTGTTTTTTCATTCTGTTCTGGTTGAATGTTTATCTCTCCCTTCTGCTCCCAATTGTTGATTTGAGTCCCAGTTTCCTTCCTTTTATTGTTGGTTTCCTGTAAATTTTTCTTTATTTCACTTTGTATAGCCTTTGCTTTCCCCCCCATTTTGCGACTATACTCAACCATTTCTGTGAGCATCCTGATTACCACTGTTTTGAACTGTGCATCTAACAGGTTGGCTATCTCTTCATTGCTTAGTTCTATTTTTGGAGCTTTGATCTGTTCTTTCATTTGGGCCATATTTCTTTGTCTGGGCACACCTGTTACATTGGAAGTGCCAGAGCCTGAGGTATTCAACACAGGGCAACCCAGGTTGCTGCGTTGTGATGCTCTATGTGGGGGAGGGGTCCAAAAGGGAACGATGCTGCTTGCTTGGCTCCCTGCTGGTTTTGAGTCACTTCCCCTGCTACCCACAAGCAAATTGGGACCTTCTAGTGCTGATTCCAAGGTGGGTGGGTTGGTTTATGTTCTAGGACTCTTTGGGTCTCTCCAGTGAACTCTCCTGTGAGGCTAGGAGTTTCTCCCACTGCTGGAACCTCTACAGGTTTTTACCTCCAAGGGTTTTGAGGCTTTCTTTTCTGGCACTGGAACCCTGGATTGCGTCGTCTGTCTCAGTACCCAGCTGTTCTTCACGGTTTATCCACACACAAATGTGGGATGGCCTGGTCCACCAGCCGCTACCTTGCTGAGCATCTTCTCCACTCTGGCTGCCTGTCTATGCCCCTCCTACTGGTTTAGATGAATGTTTCTTCTTTAACTCTTTGGTTGTCAGACTTCCATACAGTTCAATTTTCTGGCAGTCTGGTTATTTTTTGTTTTTAAATTTGTCGTTGTCCTTTGTTTGTGTGAGGAGGCAAAGTATATCTACCTATGCCTCCATCTTGGCCGGAAGTGATAATCTGTTTTCTTGTTAGGTGAGGACTGAATTTATAAGATAAGCAGAAAGAATATTATTTTTAAAAATTATTAACATTTATTTTATTTTATTTTTTTGTTAGTGCAATGATCCTAAAAAATCCTTCTGTTAAGTCCACTTATTGACCTAACCATCATCACCATCATCCCATTGCTAAGGAGATTGGACAAGACAGAGCCTGAGACAGAGTTCTCTAAACTATTATGCTAAAATTGGTGCTGCTAAAAAGAAAACACATTCCTTCTTATTGTCTACAAATCATTGCCAGGAGTGGAGGTTATTTAAGATGAGCAAGAATGTGTTACAGAGTGTGGATTCCTTCCTAGTAGGGACCCTCCTCTCCTGTCTAGGCACAGTGAATCAGGGATTCTAAGAACTCTTGAACAGCTACATGGATGGTGGTTAAGTATGGCCTAAGATTGTCTGGGTTCAATCCCAGTTTTGACACCCAACGACTGTGTGACTTAGGATAAATTACTTAACCTCCATGTACCTTAGTTTTCTCACCTGGAAAATGGATCTAATAATAGTAGTTTTCTCTATTGGGTTATTGTGAGGGTTAAATGAAGTAATATATGGATAGCGTTTAGCATAATACAGGTATATAGTTAAGTGCACAATGAATGTGAGTTATTATATTTTATTATATTGTCATTTAAGGTTTAATACTGCCTCCCTGTGAGGCAATGAGAAGACTGTACAAGCCTGTGGCTCAAGAGATGACTTGTTCAGGCTCAGGCAACCTAAGAGGTCTTGTGATTTTACCAGTAGCACTATGGAGCCTGGAACTGCCCCCAGTCCTCTTCTTCACTTGGGAAATCTTGTTAACCGGAGGTGATGCTGTACCGGTTATGTCATTTTACATTCTTTATCAAATGCTCCCTTGGGTGATCTGTCCCTGTGCAGTACCCAGGCCCTTGTGTTTATAAGTCCAGAAATTTTGAGTCACCAATCCAAGCCTAGTACTCTTAAGAGCATACTATGCATTCTAGAGTTCCCCCCATACCACAAAAAAGGAGCTAAGAATATACGTTGTGTCTTTTAAGTACTTGTTCTGTAGACAAGATGAATGCACAGGGATGAATGTGTATAGGAATGAATGCATGCACAGGAAACAAGCTGAATAATTGATCCATGAGCCCCTTCACCCCACAAGAGGTAGCACAGGGTAATGGAAAGAACATAGGCTTTGCTGCCTGACAGTTGTAAAGCCTGGCTCGACCAGTCCCCCAGCTGTGTGACATTAGACAGAATATTTGATCTGAAATATATATAAATATTTCACAGTATTTTGGAAAATACAATACTGAGCAAAAAATAGAAGTATCAATCAATGCAAAAAAATGAAGAGTTTGGAAATAGGTCAAATGAACATAAATATTTGGTATGAGATATAAAGCAAGTATATAGGGAAGGAGAACTCCTATCCCTCCTTTTGCCTAGGTAGTCTCACTAGAGTAGCTAACTGCATGGACACTGGACTTGGGATGCCTAAGTTCAATAACCAGCTTTGCCATCACTAACTGGACAAGTTACGCTAATTCTCTGTGTCTTAGTTTCCTCCCCTACAAAATAGAGATACTATTGAGACCCACCTTATGGGGTTGTTTTGAGAATTAGATGAGTTACTATATGCAAAGGACTTAGGTCAGGGCTTGAAACATAATACAATTTACGTGTTTAGCTGTTCTTATGTATTATTTATTATTTTTAATCTTTATTGGTGTATAATTGACAAAAATTGTACACATTTAAGGTGTACAACTTGATGTTTTTTTGTGAAATAATTGCCACAATCAAGTTAATTAATATACCCATCACTTACTGTTACTAGTTACCATTTTCTTTTGTGTTGAAAACACTTAAGATCTACCATCTTAGAAATTTCAAATATATAATAACAATATAGTATGGTTAACTATAGTCATATTGCTGTACATTAGATATCCAGAATTTATTCATCTTGCATAACTGAAACTTTGTACCCTTTGACCTACATTTTTCAATCCCATTTCCCCTATCCTGCAAGCCCCTGGGAAGCAGTATTCTACTTTCGGCTTCTGTGAGTATTTTAGATTCCACATGTAAGTGAGATCATGCGGTGTTCACCTTGCGGTGTCTGGCTTATTCACTTAGCATAATGTCCTCCAGGTTCTTCTATGTTGTTGAAAATGGCAAACTGTCCTTTTTTAAGGCCAAGTAATATTTCATCATGCATATATATTTGTTATGTGTATATTTTAGGTAATGCATGTGGATTATGTCAACCACACAAAAGAGCGATTAAGTTCTTGTATGATTTCAAGTTAGGATGGGATGGGCAAAGAACCTGTTTCCAATAATTTTATTCACCTCTTTTATGCTGTTTTATTTTTAGGGCATTGCTCCCAAAATAGAGTTTTCTACAAGAACAGCCATCAGAGAATGTGTGTTTCTGCATAGAAACAGATTTCCTGTAAGTATAACCAAAAGGCCAGTAATAGAAATGTCAAGAATTTTCTCCACAAATTTAAGGAACTTGGTTTATCAAGTTTGGAAGCAACTGGATGAATAGAAACCTGGAGACTTATTGTTAAGTTTGAATTTCTATAAAACTGTTTGCCCAGCTTGTCACACTGGGGTGAGTATGTTTGGCACATCCATCATGGTACAGTTGGTGGAGCAGAATGATCTTGAGCTAAGATCACAAGTTTGACATGTAAGCTAGTTTGCTTTTTTGGTGGTGGTGGTTCTATCAATTTTACTCTTAATCTTATGAACATGGTGTTTCCTTCTTTCTTCTGCTGAGGTTGAAGCTCAGAGTTGTATTGTGAGCTATCTTTGGTAACCATGAAGTGTCTTGGGACATTCATGAGCACTACCTTCATTTCATTCTATTGTTCTTCCATAACTTCCCCTTCACCCTGATTTCTTTCTGTGTTTCTTTTATCTTATTGTACAAAATTTTGAAGTGATTTAAAGTCCTCTCTAGAAGAGTATGGAGAATGAATGAATGTAATTTGTAGAGCTTCTTTGAACACTTTGCTTGTCATCCTAAATCTTGCCTGATCCTTGAAAAGATCATGAAAATGTGGGCTGCGGGTACTTAATCACAAGGGTCTGTGCAAATCCATCAATCCTCTGGGCATTATAACTCATACAATGGGTGACCAATGATTAATTTTAAGGAAACAATTAGCTGCTTTTCAGTTTTTCTTTATGTACCCACGATTTTTTCTAATCTGTTTGATATGTGTGCACAGTGAACTTTTCAGTCTTTTTCCTTTAGAAAATTTATATATGTATTTTAAATTTATATAAAAGGTATCTCTCTCTCTCTCTCTCTCTCTCTCTCTCTCTTCCTTTTAACTCTTAACTTTTAAAAGTGACATTTTTGCTCCAACCAGGTAGCTAGTTGGTTAGAGCATCATCCCAGTATGCCAAGGTTGTGGGTTTGACCACCAGTCAGGGTACATATAAGAAGCAACCACTGAATGCATAAATAAGTAGAACAACAAACTGATGTTTCTCTCTCTCTCAAATCAATCAATAAAAATAAAATAAAAGTAATATCTTATTTTTTCTTATAACAAGAGTATCCTACTTATTTTAGAAAATTAGAAAATAGAAATAAGCAAAAAGGCTATAAAAATAAAAATTATATGTCATCTTTACTATTTATAATGAGAATGACTGATTTTTTAAGCATATTCTTCTATACAACACATACACTTTTGTTTTAAAGAATTGGGATCATGCTATACTGTATATTATTTTGTACCCTTCCTTTTTCACTTAATATACCATGTCCTTAAGTGCTTTTATAAACCTCACCCAAAGATATATTTATTGATTTTATTTATTTTTTTAATTTTTAAATCATGTTTATTCGATTACAGTTGTCTCAATTCCCCCCCCCTTTTAGCCCCCTCTACCCATCCCACCCCCAACCCCCATTCCCACAGTCAATTCCCACTCTGTTGTCCATGTCCATGGGTCATTCATACATGTTCTTTGTCTAGTCCCTTCCCCTTCCTTCCACCATTGTCCTCTTTCCCCATCCCCTCTGGTCACTTTCAGTCTGTACCACGTTTCCATGCCTGTGGTTTATTTTGTTCGTTAGTTTATTTTGTTGAATAGATTCCACTTATAGGTGAGATCATATGGTATTTGTATTTCATCAACTGGCTTATTTTATTTAACTTAATATTCTCCAGTTCCATCCATGTTATCACAAAAGGTAGGAGTTCCATCTCTCTCTCCCTCCCTCCCTCCCTCCCTCTCTCCCTCCCCTCCCTTCTTCCCTCCCTCCTTCCTTTCTTTCTCTCTTTCTTCTTTCTTTCTTTCTTAAATACAAATTGATTTCATTTATTTTGTTAATGTCAAAGTTAATTATAAAATATTAAAACATTTAAAACCATTATAAAGTCTCAGCAATTAAACCAACACAAAACCAGCACAGAAATAATTAAGTAGATTAATGAAATATAATGAGCATTCTAGAGACAAACGTATATATCTGTCTAACAATGTAATATATGATTAAGTTGATATTTCAAATCAATGGGTAAAGTAAGGTTTATCCAACAAATAAGGTTCATGGACCACTATTACTTGAAATAAAACAAATATAGAGCCCTATTTCACACATTATACAAGAAATATTCAGGTGAGTTAAAAATCAATATGTAGAATCTAAGGAGTTTTAGGAGAAAATACAAACTAATATTTTTCTTACCCTGAGGTAAAATATTCAAACCCAGAAGCTATAAAGTAAAATATTGACAATGTGACTATATTAAACATTTAAGACTGTAAAGTAATATACATATTAAAAAGTTAAAGGACAAGTAATAGAATAGGAAAGTATTTGCAACATATCTAAAAAAGGGTTAATGGTTTTTTTTTTAAGGAAAAAATTCTACAAACCTTTAATCGATAAATGGATAAAGAATACAAAAAAGTCATTGAAAGCTTTTTAAAAATAATAGAAATAGGCAATATACAAAACAGGTTTAGTTTCAACAAATAATAAAGGAAAATTAAAATAACACATCATTGTCACAATCAGATTAATATATATTAAAAAATATTGGTAATATCAAGTATTGGCAACTGTGAAAGGAACTGGGTATTCATAGATTCTTTTTCTTCATCTTAAAGCAGTCCCTTTAGTGTATTTTGCAATGCTGGTTTGGTGGAGGTGTATTGTTTTAGCTTTCTTTTGTCTGGGAAACTCCTTATTCTGCCTTCCATTTTAATTGCGAGCCTTGCTAGGTAGAGCATTCTATTTGCAGGCCTTTGCTTTTCATGACTTGGAATATTTCTTGCCATTCCCTTCTGGCTTGCAGTGTTTCTGTTGAGAAGTCAGCTGCTAGCCATATGGGGCTCCCTTATATATTACTACCTCTTTCTCCCTTGTCTTTGATATTTGCCATTTAAATGATGATGTGCCTTGGAGTGGGCCTCATTGGGTTCCTCTTGATTGGGACTCTCTGTGCTTCCTGGACTTCTGTCACTTTTTCTCTCTTCCAATGAGGGCGGTTTTCCATCATTACTTTTCCAAACAGGTTCTCTATCCTTTCTTCATCCTCTTCTCCTTCTGGTACCCCTATTATACAGATATTATTATGTTTCAGGTTGTCCTGCATTTCCCTCAACACCTGTTCATTCTTTTTGAGTCTTTTCATTTTCTTTCTCTTTCTGACAGCTGTTTTCTACCTTGTCCTCCAACTCACTGATTCGATCCTTGGCTTCATCTAGTGTGGTTTTGATTCCTGCTACTGTGTTCTTCAATTCAGAAATTGTATTCTTCATTTCCTCTTGCCTCTTATTGGTAGTTTCTGTGTCCTTTTTCATGCTGATATAGTTTGCAGTAAGTTCCTCATAGTTTCCCTGTAGTTTTTTTGTAATTCTCTCCGAGCTCACTGAGCTCATTGAGCTTCCTTAGAACCATTGTTTGGAACTTGATATCTGATAGTTTACTTGCCTCTATTTCATATAGTTCTCTTTCTGGGGATTCCTCCTTTCCTTTCAAGTGGGGGGCATTTCTTTGTCTTCCCATTATTTGTGAGACTCTTCTTTTTTGCTTCTGCTTCTTAAGTTGATATGTCGTGATTTCCTAACTTTCTGGTGTGAGCTTCTATAGTAGGAAACTGCTGTTTTTACTTTCTGGATCTGCCTCTGATGATGTCAGATCTTGTCCCTGTCTGACTTTAGGCAGTCTGTTCGAGACCTCCAGGAATCTACTGTTTGTGGCTGTCTCCTTCATGTGTTAATCTAGTCACTCTGCACTCAGCAGGCTGCCTTAGACACCACAGGGCAAGGCAGAGTCCCTCCTGGGGGCATGGTTATTGGGTCCTCTCACGCTGCTGCAGTATGGGGGAAGGGTCAGCAGTGGGATCCCGCTGGCTACTCTGTCCGTTCTCTCCCCAAAGCCTCTGTCCCCAGTCTCTCCTCAGGCATCTCCAGCCCACTCTGCCCCTCTCTCTACCAGAGACCAGGGTAAGTGGCTGCAAATAAAAATTTTTGCGTTGGCCCTTTAAATGGTTCTTTGCGTCTCCAGCCACCTGTCTCTGGCAGAGAGCAACCCTGCTGCTTTTTGCAGCTGGCTGTTTTCTGTGTACTTTTTGGGGTTTGGTGCTGTAGGCTAGAGATCCCCACTTTTGGTTTAGACCCTGCTCTTCTCAGGGGGATCCAGCTGGCTTTTTCAATATCCTTCTGGTGCTGCCACTCATGGGCACCCCTCCCGCCTTTTCAAGTCTCTACCGCACTCCTTACCAGTTAGATTGTGCTAAAGCCAACTTTTCTGTCTCCGTGGTTACAGGGCTTCTCTCTTGCTATTGTTCAGTTGTTTGTTCCAGGTGATTTATCCATAATTTAGTGGTAATTTCAAGTTGGTCCTGGGAAGAGGTCAGTGTGACTTCCACTCACTCCTCCGCCATCTTGATTCTCCTTATTTATTGATTTTAGAGAGAGAGGAAGGGAGGTAGGGAAGGAGGGGGAGAGAGAGAGAGAAACATCGATGTGAGAGAGAAAGATTGATGGGTTGCCTCCCATACGCACCCTAACAAGGGTCAAAGCTGCAACCTAGGTATGTGCCATGACTAGAAATTGAACCCTCAACCTTTTGGTGTACAGAGAACATTCCAACCAGCTGAGGTACCCAGCCAGGGCTCCTTAAGTACTTTTACACCAGGCAAATTTTCATGGCTTCATTGTATGCCATTGCACAGTAATACCATAAGTTGTTTGGCCAATCATTTTTCCTACTGTTGGGCACTTAACTGATGTGTCACAGTCCAGTCAGGAAAACAAACCACACATATTGGTTTAACAGAAATATTTAATGTAAAAAAAAAAAGGCTAAATTGAGGCTAGAGTACTGAGAAGTGATGGACAAGTGGAGTACACTGAAGTGATGCAGATTGTAACCGCAGGAAGCAGCTATTACCCCTTGGACTGAGGAAACAAAGGAAAGAGGTTGGGTCATCAATAGCATGGAAGCTTGAGGAAGAAACCCTACAGAAAGGGAATCCCATAGCAAGGGGATCCTGGGGAGGGGCTGCCTTCCTGGGTGTTTCCTCAGGAATTCAGAGGTAGGACTTCAGTGAGCGGGGACTCTGACCTCTAAGTGGGGACATTGCTCAGAGCTGGTGCCTCAGTACCTGTGGGGCTAGACTGAAATCTCTGAGTGCTGGTATGTCTGAGGGGGGCACAATAAGACTAGTTCTGGGGTTATTCGAGTGGCGGGAACTATAAACTTGAACCATTTGCTGTTGCCAAGGTGAAGCATGGTTCCTACGGTGTGATGATGACAAGAATAGAATGCAAAACTGGAAGTAGCCAGTTTTGTCTTCTGGTTTAGTCTTGCAAGTTCTCTCTAGCGCTTCTAGTGGTAGAGTCAAACCATAGCTGGAGAAGTAGAAGGGGTTTGCAGTGTGCCAGCGCTGTGTTACAAGCTGAGTCTAGAAAGGTGGGTTTGGAGTTGAGAGACAGTTGCTTACTCACCACTCACCAATATAGTTGGTTCCTCATTTTTGAACTGTTATAAGAATATTTTTTAGCTAAACACATAGTCGTACTTATTTCCTTATAATAAATTCATTGACATGAAATTGTTGGATCTGAGTATATGCCAAATTCTCTCTCTCTCTCTGTCTCAATCTCAATATCTATATATCGATCAATCGGGGGGAAGTTTTTAGTACTTTCCAGCTGTCTCCTGATACAAATAAATCTCATTGTTATTAATTGAAATATGACATAATAGCAAGTTACAAATGCTAGTAATATTAAGCTGAACTGAAGAAAAATAAGTAGAAAAATGCCATTACTCGAGTTCCAGTTTTACAATTCTGAGATGGTTAATAGTCTACCATAGTTAAACAAAGTTCAACTAAATACAGTTATATTCTGATAGAATTTTCTTTTCTTTTTTTATTTTTGTTTTTAAAAGTATTATTATTGTTTTTTGGTTTCAGGAAGAAAGATATAAGTCACGAAGTCCTTTATCTACACCATATGGACCAAAATGCCCTTTAAATAATACTCATGGGAAGCCAAGGGAGAGTAATCTCAACAGATTGTCCCGGAACACGCAGTCCCAGGTGCCCCCTCCATATTCTGCCAGGTGTTTCTTCCAGGACCAGCCAGCTCAACTGAACCTTGGAAATAACTTCAGAATCTCTGGAGAAAGCAAACCTCCATTTGTAGTTAGACATGTGAGCCTAAAATTATTTTTCAGAGTTCTTTGGAATGGTGAGAGTGTGAATGAGCTCAGGATACAGGAAGTTTAGGTCATGAAAACAATTGGTTAATATTAAATAAAGAGGGAATTCAAACTGAATAATAACTATGATTAAATTATGTTCTCTTCCTAGAGTCATGTTCAGGAAGTTCCTATAAATGTTTTGTACAGAGAGGACTTGCTCAGTAAATGTCAGCCATCCCTGTTTTTAATTTTTGAAAATTATTAATAGAGTGTGATGGCAGCGTACCATTATTCAGAAGAATCAGTGAACTAATAGGTAGAAGACACTTAACAAATGCTGGCATATACTGTGTGCCAATATACAACTAAAGCTTCATCAGTTTTAAAGAAAACAGCGTGAAGTTCTAAATGAGGTTGTTGCTCATTGGCTGTACTTTAAAGAGCAGGAAAAAATGTTTCTGCGGAAGAAGCAATAGTCAAAGCCCTTGATTAAATTTATCTGAGATGTGACCCTAAGAGTAGTTGGCAAATTTAGTCATACTAGTTCTTTTAGTCTCCTTAAATTTTTTGACTACTATAAAAAGGAAAATATTGAAGTATTCAAAAGAATTACCTATAGACTCACCAGCCTAATAAAAACAAATAATTTATTCAGTGCATGTTCTTTTACCTTTTTATATTCAAAAGGCATTATATTTCCACAAAGTTGTAATTACACTGTATTATATATAGATTAGTTTCTCAATATATAGTTAGTATTATATTAAAAGCATTTCTAATATTATATATTCTTCATTAACACCATTCTGTGTTCTAGTTCATGCCTTATTCTCCAGTAGTTCTTATAACTCCATTAGTTAACTCTTGATATTATTGTCAAATTGATAATTTGACTTAACGTCACTAGTGGTGATGTTTATGTGTTTGACATCAGACATGAAGCGTGGTAAATCCCAAAGTCAAGCTGTTGTTGAGATGACCATATTCATAGTTGGCTTTTAGCTAGTGCAGAGATGTTCTTTGGCTAAGAGAACAGAATAGCTCTTTCCTTCACAGTGACTTGGATAAAAATGTCTGGCAAAAATCCAGCAATCATTCTTTAAACATGGCATCATAAAAAATTGTTTAATTGAGTTTATTGGACAATGATTTATTTCATTTGAAATACGTTTTTATAAAATGCAACTTTAGTCTATGCCATTATGGGATAAGTAATCTTAAAATCTTAGTAGATTTCTTAGGTAATAAAACTAGCTTGATATTTATTTCTTTTAACAAATTTTTATCTAGCCTTTACTAAGTATGAAACTCGTTTCTAAGTGCTTTATACATTCTCTTTCATTTAGCCAGATTTCCTGATATCTGGTGTTTCTTTAAGTAAAGCATTTACATTTACAAGACCTAATGTTGTAAAGACTGTGAATTCTAATCAGTATATCTCTTCAAGTAGAATGAAGAGTAACATTATAACCTCTCTTCTTGAAATTTAAAAAAAACCCAGGTAAACAAAGTAAAACAAATCCAGCAACTCTCCCTATTTATTTTATCTGTTGGCAGATCATGTTGTCCAATTTATGAAAATATGGTCACCTTAAGTAAAATAATATAGTCACTCACACTGGCACAGAATGTGGAAGGCTAAACTGTCATCTTAGGATAGTCCCTTATCTTCAGGGAGGACCCTACCTAGACCAGCACTGCTCGGACTGTTTGTGAATATGAAAGTCTGTCCTGTTATAAAAGAATGCAAAGTGAACTTGGGTCTTTTCTGGGCTTGATCCTTACCAGTAGTTAGAATATAACTTGTGTCTGACTTTAGTTCTTTATGCTAACAGCCCATCTCTTCATGACCTAGCCTCAGTGGAGATAGGGACAGATGTCTTCCCCTACAGGGTAATGTTGAACATACATGGATACTGTGATTTAATTTATTTCCAACCTTCTTTTCTCACTTGCATGACCCATGACTGAGGGGGAGAAAGGCATTACAGGTAATGTGGAGAGTGTAATACAAGCTATGGTGGGTTCAAATCTTATTTCTTTCTGTTTCTTTCAGGTGGACAGTGCAAAGCCCTTTGGTGAGAATATTTCACAGCATTATTCTGGGAAGTCTAGAAGAAAATCCAAGTTTTCACACTGTCCCTTTCCAGTGAAAAGAGGTATTCAAGTTTCTTGTTGCCCCTGTACATTTTCCTATGGGAACAAATGCATCCTACTTCTAAATCTTCTGCATATTGTGGAATCACAAGTTTCTTTGGAATCTTAGGGTTTAATTCTCAAGTACTCTCCAGCTGTGGCATTTCCAGGGAAGATATTCCCATGGAGCAGAGTCAGCAAAAAAGCGATTTCAGAGTTCCCCTGGCTATTGAAGGAGACTACTCTGAGTAGTTGCTCACCAAGTGTGCTCTGGTAGCATTTGTTTCCTGGCTGGGCTGGAAAAACAGGGAGCAGCTTGTATTGGTGCAAACTCCTAGCAGAGGCACCACTGATAGCTAACAAATAAGACTCACCATTTCTCTGGATAGGAAACAGCAGGGGATTGGTAATCAGGAAACCTAACATTTGCTTTACAAGAGTCCATGTTAGCGAGGAGGTGAGTCACCTCTATCTAAAGCAGGTAGGTTAAGGTAGGGGATCTCAAACTTTCAGGTGTCATGACCCTTTTGCATTCTTAAAAATTGAGGACACAAAAGAGCTTTTGTTTATGTGGGTAATATCCATTAATATTTAGCATATTAGAAATGAAAACTGAGAAATTTGTAAAATACAAGAATATACAAGTACACATTCCACTAGCCATTGGAGTGGCAACGTTATGATGTACTATGTAGCTTTTTGATACTACACTTGATCTTAGACAAAAGGCCAAGAAGTTATGTAGCTTTTTGAAAACTCCATTGTATAGTGATGACAGAATGAGAGTGAAAAAAGCAACTTATGTGTTAGTATTATTAGGAGGATAGTTTTGATCTTGCAGATCCTCTGAAAGGTCTGGGGGACACGTGGGGAGGTCCCTGGACCACACATGGAGAGTCACTGGGTTAAAGCATCCCTTGGAGACCTTTGCCTTTGATTGAAATACATGAACCATGTCAATACTGAAGCTCATGGCAGTGAAGGTCAGCCATTCCTGAACTTCATAAAAATTCGTGGGCTAGACAGGGATGGTGGTAGCCCATTCTCTTGACTCCTAGTGGGACTGGACTGGTACCATCCCTGACAACAGGGTTTCCTATCTTAAGCTTAAAGGTTTATATTTTTAAAGGGCTGCACCATCTCTTACGGTAACTGAAGCCAGTGTTGTTGGATCATGGTGACAGTTCGACTGCAGCCAACCAAGGACGGAGTACAATTTGACACAGAAAGTGCTTTATCACCTCTGACATTTAATTTAAGTCCTCTCGATTGAAAATCACCAGGGTAGCCTATAAAAGCAGAACTGTCTTTCTTATTACTGTGAAATGAAGCAATAGTAATGTCCTTTCCTGGAGAGGACAAGTTGGGTTTAATGCTGGTCCACTTATGGTAGGCCTCATACATCACATGGTCTCGGCCTTTATCTTTCCTTAATCCTGGCAGGTGGAGAACTAGGTTCCAAAGGGGTTATAGGATGCGCACAGGTCACACACCAAGTTTTTGGCAAACCTGCATTGAGAGAAGACATTCAGACCTCTGGGCTCAGATCCTGTAGCTTCCAAGCCAGACCTTTGCTTAGGCCGCCTGTGAGCTCATTCATGAGGGGGGCGCAAGGTAGACCAAAGCAGTGCTTCTCAAATTTGAACGTGCATTTGAATCACCTCGGGATCTTGTTAAACTGCAGATTCTGATTCAGTAGTGCTGGGGTGGGGTCTGTGATCTTTCTTTTCTAACAAGCTTCCAGGTGATACCAGTGCTGCAGGTCCATGGACTGCACTGTGAGAAGCAAAGGAACAAACGCAAGCCCCTGTGGAAGGAATGCTCAACATCACGAGCAAGGGGACTATAGGGCAGGTTTGAAAAGGCCTAAGCATTGCTGATTCCCTGCTCGGCTGGAGGAAGAGAGTTTCTGGGATAAGAGGGACACATAACACATGCATGCCCAGAGGATATGACAGTTTCTAGTCTTTAAAATCCCTTTTTATAGCTTCCTTCTTACTGCCAGTGGCACAAGGGGAATCAGCAGTCAGGAAAAGCCCCTGGTCACTGCTTAAGCCCCAGTCACAATGGAGGAAGCCATGGGGCCTTCACATGTCCTTGCAAATGCACATTTCAAAAACATTTTATTTCTCAGCCTGGAAAAATCCAAATTAGTCTTGGTTTTGTTTATGTATATTAAATTATTCACTTCCTAGTCATTCTTTCCATTCCCTGGCATTTGTTCTACTTGTTCTGAGTATTTCGGGTAATCACAATGATTTACACTTTTGCTGTGTCACGTTTCTCCAAGCTCTTATGTATTTGTTGTCCCCTTGAACATTCATGTCCACCTTGAACAAGCATACTCAAGAGGTTCTGCATGAATAGGATTCCACAAAAACCAAATATGAATGGAATGACAGAATCAGCAGAATATATGAATTTTACATTTGAAACACATGGCACCTGGGCAAATATGAGTTTTCCTGGCTGCTTAAGTGTTACTGAACTTATTGTTTCACTTTGGACTCTCTTTTACCCTTCCCATATCCATATGTGCTGTCATTAATGATACCACCTCACTGTTGACCTCAAGAGGATGGAAACTCATAGAACTGTTGTGACTCAGGGGAGACTTAAAAGTGATAGTGTAATTTGCAAGGGAGCATTTACGTTCTCTAATAATGCATTGTGTAATATTTTTGTACTGCTGTAGAATAAGTGTAACAGCAGTTTTAGGGGGTAACTGGTAATAATGAGTCACTGAATCACCTGTTCCTTTTTCTTCTAGCATCTTCTCTTGACAGCCTTGCAGCTAATGTAAAGGTAATTTTAGAAGTAGCATTTGTAAAATAATTTATTTCCAGCTATTTAATGTCAGTTACTGTGCTTTCACCAATGACTGGTGAAAAGTATATTTCTAGCTTCTGCTCCTTATGGAATTGCTATAGTTTAACTGTAGTTTAAGAGGTCTCCAGGCTCCACTGTCTGCTTTGCTTTGCTTTAGTTTGTTTGTTTCCCTCATAGGAACTTTATGCATTTGCAGGATGAATCACTAGCGAAGGCATATGTAGGCCCAATACCTACTTTATCAGTAGAATTTTCATTACTATTTCTCTAATCGGATACTTTTATACACAGAAGTGGTAAATCACTTGTTCTTGAAGTGTGATTGGTTTGTCAAGGTGAAGAGGCAAAGTTCTATGTTACAAGTTGAAGACAGATGTATGCAGAAAAAATGGAGTATATTGTGCTTCTTATGTCAGAGCACTTAAATGTTTTGTTTAAAAATTATCTTTCCAAAACCCAATAATCCCCAGTTCTCACAAATCGAAGTTTAGAGCATGAGTTTCTTTTAGCTTGTTAATATACATACATATATACATATACATATACACATAGTAAGTATATATATATATGTATACACACACACATACACACATGCACCAGACATACAGAATTTTAGTTATCTTTCCTTGACCTTGACTCCTGAGCGTTTTGTCTCTAGTCTTCTCTACTCCCACCCCTCTTTCATAACAGGAGATCCCCAAGGCAGGTATTTTATCACCTTGCCCCCAGTTCTCTTCCTTGTCCCACACCACCCTAGCTTTGACTTAAGCAAACAAAAGCAAAACTACAGCTAAAGAGTAATGCACATTGTTGCTCAGGTTACCAAAGAGCCAGATGAACGGATTGTTTTAAGGAATAAATCACCAGCACCGTTAGATTCAAGTAAATTTGGAAAGCCCTCTCCCAGTTACAGTAACCAAGGGGATGCCGATTGCCACCTGGAAACTTCGTTGGCCACCTCCCAGCCCTCCAGGTCTCCCAGCCCTCGTCTGGATCCACCCCGGCTCCGAGAAAGGTCAGCAGCCAGCGCCCATCTCCTTGCTTGAAGAGTGACTGTGTTCTGGCAGGAGCGAAGCTGGTCACTGCGCCAGTTTGCTTTCTCAGGAATATTCAGCTGGGACACCTTGACATGAAAAATTATTATTCCTTTGAAGATCTTCCCAAAAGTAAAAGTTTAGCCTTTTTCTTGCCTCTGGAACACATTATTTCAGGATGTTTGTTGAGAATGGGACAGACAGATAACTTGGCATAGATATTATTTATCCATTTTTAGATGTTATGTGTTTTAAAACTCAAGATTTTGATTTCACCAATATAAAAGTGTTCACTATAGAAATTTTGGAAATTACAGAAAAACAAAAAAGAGTGGAAAAAAAATCACCCATAGTCCTGTCACCCAAAGACAAACATTAATGACATGTGAATATATTTTCTTTCTCTTTTTCTAAATATGGTTTCTTGGTTTATATTATTGTTACAAATTTTAAAAGCTATGATTGCCTATGTCCAGAAGGCAGGCCAGAGATGGAGAACAGGGACGTTTATTTTTCAAACTTCACTCTCCAGTGATGTGATTAACCATCCAGTTTGCCCAGGAGTTTCCCAATTTTAACCCTGATGGTTTACATTTTGGGGAAACCCCTTAGTCCTGGGCCAAACAGGATGGTTGATCACCTTAACTCCAGGGAAGTGGCGCCACAGGTAATATTAGTAATAGTTGTTTTGAGCAAAAGATATGCAGTCTGCTTTACTCTGCAATGTTAGTGATGAGAATAAAATAAACCCCTTTATCAAAATAACACAGCTACTCACAAAGGGACTCATAGTAAATATCTCCAAACAAAAGTGGCCCTGAAATTTTAATAGGAATTATATTAAGTTTGAGGTAGACTAAGAAAGTGGCAGTGCATTCTTACTGTGTTTCAGAAATGATAGAATACCTTTATAGTAAGATGTTTAACCATGGGCTTGAGGAAACCAAATCAAGTATTTTAATAAAGTCTATTAAAGAATGTGAGTTTTTGATAAGGTACTTTATTGAAAGAAAATAGTATAACATAGATTTTTTAAAAATTGGCCTAGGCACTGCAAGACAGGTGGTCAGAGACACATTTACACCCCTTTTATGCCTGGCCTCCACCTATGTCAGCTTATCCTCTTTCTACCATCCTGGAATGCGGCAGCTTGGCAAAGCAGGAGGGGTTACCTGAGAGAGGTAAAGACAGAGAGAACTGATTTTAAATGGAGAGGGAAACAACCGTCAACTGGTGGTAGTCAGGAAACTTGAGCTGTAGTGCTCATTGTCTCTGAGTGATATGTGTGATCTAACCCAAATGCTCAGCCTTTTAGACCTTAGATTCCTGAAGTGTAAAATGGGTATAATGATCAAAGATCCATCCTCTGACAGCCACGAAGTTCTTCTCTTCTACCAGAACTGGAGAAAACCTATGGCTTTTTCCATGTGCCTAGTTTTTATACATCACACAATCTTTATAATCAGCATAGCAAGCTTTTCTGAAAGGTTAAATTGAATATAGATTTATTGAGCACCTATTATGTGCACTGTATATGATCATGACACACACACATCCAGTGGCTCACATGCTAGACAAGGGAGGCAGGCATACCCCCATGTCCTAAATATGAAATGGACTGTGATCTGCGCTTGACACAAGTACAATCCCAATGCAGGGGAAAGAGAGCAGGAGGAGGCTAATTCCATCAGGAAAGAGATCTAAGAAGGCCTCGTTTCTTAAATTTGTTACATGGTTTTTGCATTCATTCATCCAACTGACCTTTCATGAATATCTTTTTGTTTTTTCTTTATTTAAATCATTTTTCATTTTTCAATTACAGTTGATATACAATATTATATTAGCTTCAGGTGTATACCCCAGGGATTAGACATTATATAAGTGAATCCTGATCATCCTGACAATCTCATACCCATCTTACACTGTACATAGTTATTAGAATATTATTGACTAGATTCCCTATGCTGTCCTTTACATCCCCATTACTATTCTGGAACAACAGGTTTGCACTTCGTAATCCCTCACCTTTTTCACCCATTCTTTCAACCCACCTCCTATCTGGCAACCATCAAAATGTTCTCTGTATCTATGAGCCTCTTTCTGTTCTGCTTGTTCTTTTATTTTTGTTTTGTTTTGTTTTAGATTCAGTTGTTGATATGTTTTTATTGTCATTTTATTGCATTTCACTGTTCATAGTTTTGCTTTTTTATAAAAATTCTCAGCCAAGGATATGTTTATTGATTTTAGAGAGGGAGAGAGAGTGGGGGGTGGGCAGGGAGAGAGACAGAGATAGAGAAACATCGATGTGAGAGAGAAATATCTATTGGTTGCCTCCCATCCCACAACCTAGGTATGTGCTCTGAAGGGGAATCAGACCCACATTCTTTTGGCGTAGGGGCGATGCTCCAACCAAGTGAGCCACCCAGTCAGGGCTCTTCTTCTTCTTAAAGAAGACCATTTACAATTTCAGGTAATACTAGTTTGGTAGTGATGAACTCGTTTAGCTTTTTCTTTTTAAAAAATACATATTTCACTGATTATGCTATTACAGTTGTTCCATTTTTTTCTCCCCTTTTATTTCCCTCCACCCTGCACCACCCCTCCCCTCAGCATTCCTGCCCTCCCACCCCCAGCTCTTAGTTCATGTCCATGGGTCGTATATATAAGTTCTTTGGCATCTCCATTTCCTATGCTATTCTTAACCTCCTCCCTGCCTATTTTGTACCTACTATTTATGCTGCTTATTCCCTGTACCTTTCCCCCCATTATTCCATTTCCCCTCCTCCCCTCTGATCTCCATTTCTATGATTCTGTTCCTGTTCTAGTTGTTTGCTTAGTGTGTTTTTGTTTTTTATTTTTTTAGGTTCAGTTGTTGATAGTTGTGAATTTGTTGTCATTTTACTGTTCATAGTTTTTGATCATCTTTTTCTTAGATAAGTCCTTTTAACATTTCATATAATAAGGGCTTGGTGATGATGAACTCCTTTAACTTGACCTTATCTGGGAAGCACTTTATCTGCCTTTCCATTCTAAATGATAGCTTTGCTGGATAGAGTCATCTTGGATGTAGGTCCTCGTCTTTCATGACTTTGAGTACTTCTTTCCAGCCCCTTCTGTCCTGCAAGGTTTCTTTTGAGAAATCAGCTGATAGTCTTATGGGAATTCGTTTGTAGGTAATTGTTTCCTTTTCTCTTGCTGCTTTTAAGATTCTCTCCTTATCTTTAATTTTGGGTAATGTAATTATGATGTGCCTTGGTCTGTGCTTCTTTGAGTCCAATTTCAATTTCTTGCTCTCCTTCTTCTCCTTCCAGCATCCCCATGACATGAATATTGGTACACTTGAAGTTATCCCAGAGGCTTCTTACTTTATCTTCATTTTGGGGTTTTTTTTTCCTTTTTGCTGTTCTGATTGGATGTTTTTTGCTTCCTCATATTCCAAATGGTTGATTTGAATGTTGGCTTCATCTACTCCACTGTACTGTTGCTTTCCTGTAAATTATTCTTCATTTCAGTTAATGTATTCTTCATTTCTGACTGGTCCTTTTTTATAGTTTCCATGTTCTTCTTTATGCTGTTAAAGTTCTCACTAAGTTCCTTGATCATCCTTATAACCAGTGTTTTGAACTCTGCATCTAGTAAATTGCTTGTCTCCATTTTGTTTAGTTCTTTCTCTGGAGTTTTGTTCTGTTCTTCCATTTGGGGCATGTTTCTTTGTCCCCTCATTTTGGTAGCCTCCCTGTGTTTGTTTTTATGAATTGGGTAGAGCTGCTATCTCCCAGGCTTGGTAGAACGGCCTTATGTAGTAGGTGTTCTGTGGGTTCCAGAGGCACAACCTCCTTGATCATCCATGCTGGGCACTCTAGGTGTGCCCCTCTGTGTGGACTGTGTATACCCTTCTGTTGTAGTTGAGCCTTGATTTCTGTAGGCATATCAATGGGAAGGATTTACCCCCAGGTTGATCAATAATCTGCAAGGACTTGCTATGACCACAAACTTCCAACCACCAGGGAGGATCAGCTGTGCAGCGGCCCACCTCACAGAGCAGGACTTACTTCAGCAAGACTCTGGTGCCCACTGAGCCTGCCCCTTGAGTATGTTGCTTGTGGAGGTGGTTGAATGATGTTTCCACTTAGTCTGAAGTATCCACTAAGCATGCTGGCTCTGGGGCCTCCCATGAGGTGAAGTCCAAGGTTAGTCACTATCTGTGTTCTGCCTGTGGCCGTGTGGGATGAGATACAAAATGATCTGCAGATGGCTGCTACTTGTGCTGGGCTTGGAGGTGCCTAGGAGAGGCCAGGCTGTGAACCAAGGCCGGCTGCTGCTACTGCTGGGCCTAAGGCTGCTTAGCAAGAGGTACTGGGCATGTTGAGGCCAGAAACTGCTTGTTTGGGAGCTTTTAGGAAAGTCTGAGGTGTGAGCCAAGGCAAACCATAGAAACAGCTTGGGTGCGCCTGCAAGTTGGGCTGGGCAGGGTCTCAGTGAATCACCAGAGTGGGGTGAACAGTATGAGCCAGCTGGGTGGATACTCAGATATGGTGCCCGCCTGCCAGCTTAGGTGGGGAGAGGGCTCAGAAAAGGAACACTGGCCTCTGCCAGCTTTTTTGTCTGGCAGAATACTGCACACCCCAGTTCTTGCCCTAATGCCAGGCAATTCAATTCCTCTCTGTATGTCCCTGGTGCCTTTTGGGCTGCTGTCCCAGTGTTGTAGTTCAGAGGGAGTGTATCAGAATAAGTCCATGCATGGGCCCTTTAAGAGAAACTGCCTGGGACTCCAGAAGCCCTCTGTCTCCCTGATCCACAATCCCTGCTCATTTTTACAGCCAAAATTTATGGGACTTCTCTCCCTGGTAGTGGAACCCTGGGCTTGTGGGCCTCGCCCTTCTGGGGAGACCTCTGCCTTTAAGATACACCTCCCAATTTTTCTCTACCACAAGTGGATACGGGACCATCCCATGCCACATCCCTCCTACCAGTCTTGATG